GTCGTGCCAACGGACGATACGCTCGACTTAAGTGGATGGAGCCTTGCGACTAGAGTCATTGCAATTGTCACTGCAATTAAATATCAGTTTGAGGATGAAGAATGTAAAACGAATCACTTGAGCATTTTCAGTCATTGATTCTTCTATCCATGTTGAGGATCCAGGCTACCAGATTGACTATATTCTTACAGCTTTGTGCAGTAATCTTCGACAAATCTCTCTCAGTGTAATATGTTTTCCTGGTTAACAAACTATATAAATTAGCATTTTACAATCAAGCTTTTATTTAGTGTATTAACCTAAGCAACAAATCAGAAGCAACAGCAAAAAAAAAGTTTTGTTTTGTGACATGAGATTAATCAATGGTGGGAAAAAGGTTAACCTACCAATGTATACTCTTGTATTTATACGGCACTTGTTTTTGTATACTGGCAATATTTTGACACAAATAATTAATCAATCAAGTCAGTAGAGGACTACCTGTATATGGGGCGAAAATTCTTCTGGACTAAGATTAACCACAGCGTTACTAGCAGGCACACGTTTTCTTCTTTTGTTTATGTATGTATGTATGTTGAACTTCTTTCGTAACATACGTAGCCAACCGCGCTAATGAGAGGTGCGAGGGAAGGACAACAAACTAAACACAAAAAGCAGTTCTAAAAAAATGAGTTTTCAATCTAGATTTAAAAATGCATAGCAGCTATGAAAGAGATTCAGTTGCGAGTGATTTAGCCGTTCGGTCGCAACAGTTGCTCTTCTGACTGGGAGGTCGAAGGTCAACATTCGGTCACCGCATTGATGATATTCGTTGTCGTGGTTTCCCACTGATGGGACTCGAATGGGACTTGGATGCGGCCGAGCACAGCAACGTGCCGGAACACCCTTGGCACCTCACCGCACTGGCAGCTGTGGTCAGCCAGGTGACGAGCGCTCGGTCCAGTTCCCATCGCTACCGAGATTTAGCGGAGCTCACCATGCACTGTAGCAAAGTGGACATTTAAGACTCAGTATGCAACTCGAAAATTGGAACAAATTACCTGCAAACTTCGAAAATTATTCTTGTGGAATTAACCACAATCCTGGCACTGTTATCCAATTTTCCTGTTGTGAAAAAAAAGCGCTGAAAGGAAAGGGAAGTATTTAGAGCATTTTAACGGCGGTGGCGAGACTGGGTTGCTGTGCGTATACAAGCCGCCAAAAGTTGAGATTCAACGGCATCATGGGATTGAACCCATGACGATGTACTTTCCACAGTTTTTTTCCACCATCATATTTGACCAAATTTACCTGACCAAAATAACACATTGATAGACTTCGATCACAATTATCATTGCAAGTCACCAGAAAAACATAGGCGAGTGAGGGAAGGCTTTAATTCCAAAAAAATTTTGCAGGGTTCCCAGTGCACGAGGGTGAGGAGGAGTGGCTGGGAGCGCAGCGGGCACGGGCCCAGGGAGAGGGGCCCAGGAAGCGCTCGCTCGGGGTGCGCGGCGGCGAGCGATGATAGCGGCAACCAATTCTCATCGTTGACACAATGGGAGCGGTACCGTGGTTTCCCCTGCGGCCCGTCCTTGACCCACGCGTGCGGCAGCTCATCCTGCGTTTGGTAAACACACCGGGGCCGCGCAGGCTTCCTGCTCAACATCCTTTCTCACACCGTGCAGCCATAAACAGCACGTACTGAGGCCGTGCTGCTGCACCGCACAGCACAACACGGTACACCAAGCAACACATCCTTTCTCACACCGCGCACACAAACAGCATGTACTGAGGCCGAATGCTGCACTGCAGAGCACAGTACTCTAAACAACTCATCCTGTCTCACTATTAAAGATGCCATAGCTAGAAGAGTTCACTCGTTTCTTAAATTGGGAAAGGTGTTTTTTTTAATACATATAAGCGTTTGGGAAGAGACAATGGCAGGGCATTCCAAAGTCGAGCAGTGAGATGGAAAAAGCAGAAGAAGTGGTGTCGTGACCTGTAGTGTGGTGGTTGAATGCAGTGTGGAGGTGGAGGTAGACAGAGTCCTCAATCAACATGGGTGGAGGAGTCAATGAGTGAAGTTCACGGCAACAATAACTATGGCAGCTGCGACAGAAGAGTAACAAGAGGTAACTGACCACCACGGAGCAAGTGATGGAGTGAATGCTGGATCAATCAACCGGGCTGCATTACACTGCATTTAGACAAGTTTGTGTACCTTTTAACCCTTTCCCATTGCGATGACGTACGTGTACGTCATCAGTTTGTCAATAAAAGGCCATTTGGGAGGGTGTGTGGCACAGTTTGGCACCAGCTATCGTAGAGTGCCGTCATGTCGCTACGGTTCTCTTCGCCGAGTACAATGTATTTAAAAACAGCGGCGCTACGCCTCTCGAAATAAAAATGAACTCCAACCGCTTGCACTTTCCCAGATTCAGTGGTGAACGGGACCCACCCTGCAACTTCCAGATGTCTCGGAATGCGAGGGAGTTAATACCTTCCCCAAATGGCTAAACATTTCACAAAGTGCATTTGTGTTCGTCGTCTACCGAACATGTAATACAAAACAAATTAAATTTGACCTGACGGGTGACACAAAGCCACCCAACGAGGCGTATAACTAAAGGATAAGCAAACATAGAAAAAAGTCAAGGAACACAGTGACAGAATGAGCCTTCACACGGAGGTGACGATACGTAGGTAAGCGTGTCACGTTCGCTCATCAAGGCCGTACGCTGCCTGCAATGCCACTGCCACCACGCAGGGACACAATCTGGACACGCAAACTGAATTATTTTTTTATTTAATTCACATTTTACTTCAACTATTTTCCTTCCTGCTTCGTTTTTTTAAGTTTAATAATTCGTCACTTGTCAATGTGGCATTAGTTTGCTCTAGTTCCTCAAGGTTACAAGTGTTTTGTCCAAAACGTTCAAAATTGTATAGAACAAATTGCCTTTAAACATGATTCATTGTTAAAACATCACACTTCGGCATCTCCCAAAGCATCACAATGCGCATTATCTGCTGCCTAATTTTCTAAACATTTTACTTCCAGTCACAGAATTTCGCTTTTATTTTCACTCACACAAACTGCAACTACAAAAATGGCAATCTTATGCGTGTGTGTGTGTGCAGCACTATATAAATACACTGCTGGATGAAGGCCTCCCTACAACCTTTCGGTCATGGGGGTGTTTAACCATACTTCCCCAAGGTGAGGTCAGTTCGGGTTGGTTCACATATCACTTGCCACCAGTGTTTAACCAGGGCTGGGAATCGAACTCGGGTCGCCGGGTTCATAGCGCACGGCGCTAAACACTGCTCCACCCCCACCCAGCCAGATGGACAAGTGCTCAATTCATATCTAGGTAAAAGACCATTGTCAATTCCGCTCTTCGTGGGAAATCTGGAGGAAATACAATTAAAAAAATATACGGCGCACGGGAAGAGGGGACAATGTTGGCGTTGATGATCAACTCGGAGGTGTCGGGCTCCTGCATAGTGGCGCAGCTGCTTCCCGTGTCCTGACCGAGCTACGCGGGGCGGCACTTCAGAGAACGAACGCCCTCGCTGGCAAGAAGCACACTTCATCATCGCCGCTAACCATTTCACTTTCAGATTTTTCACTTTCGTTATTTTTTAAATTAAAATTCAGAATAACACGTAGGCTTCAAATGTTTACCTCAAATCAGGTGTGTCGGTTAGCAGAAGTGACATTGAGCAATGCAGACAGGTTGCCCACAAACAGTTAAGGTGAACGACGTGAACGTCTCTGCACTTCCACGAGCTTACTCGTAAACGCACCTCCGATAATTAGCACGGTTGCCTACGTAAGGTGCAAAAGAAGTTCAACAAACACATATATACAAAAACAAAGATCCCCATATAGCCTTAATAGACTGTATGGGCAAGTGCTGTTAGCGAGCACCACACATATATATATACAAACAAAACGAAATGCGCCACCAAGTGCCACAACAGGAGTCGGATACCATCGACTTCTCTCGAGCGTCATAAAAGCAGCAGTCTCGGACAACTGGTTTGAAATGCATCGGTGTTTAAATAACAATACACAATAACGTGCATTTAGTCAGTTCTCAAGATATCTTATTCCAAAGTTTTCCAAGGAGGTCCTGATAATACAAATTTATCCCACATTAAAGTTGACATAATAGCAGCAGACACAGCCAATCAATATCACTAACCAGTGATTAGGGTATTTTTTACAGGCAAAATAAGAATATTGCCAAGCAACTGGGTAATGGCAGTACTGCAACCAGTCTCAGAACTATGGAATGCCAGTTTAAAATGCAAAAACCTTAACCTGCTGACGAATAATTATTTAATTGCTATTTATAAAATCAGTGCTGTGTTGTTTATTGCGAACTGTCACAGTCCTCCAACTGTCTGCGAATTTTAAATAGCTTCGGGCACGTCAGTCGTTGGCCCATCAAACTCGACTGCATGTAAAAAGCAGCAATTATTTTGGGTGGGTGCATAATATTCCAATACACAAACTCAGAAAGCAGGATTCAGCGCTCTGATACATGCACAGCAAAATTAGGTGAGCCACCAAGCCATATGTAAGTTAAAATACAAAAATTGATACACACTGCCCAAGTCCCGGTGGAAAGATGTTATCCCCCTTGCCTGGTATACAGGATGTCGTGGGTTCGATCCCAACTCTGACGCTTGCGGTATATTTGGAGTTAGCATGTTCTGCCTGTAGTCGCGTGGAATTTTCTCTGGGTTCTCCAGTTTTTCCCTCCACATTTAGAGTCAAAATGCGTTAAAAGGATTTGGCTGCAATAAATTTCCACATGACAAGTCACTTCATTCAGCTATGATTTGTGGCCGGGTCGCTTCTGAAAAAGAGACAGAGAGTTCAGTGGGCCTTACCTGGTAAAATAAAAATAGTTCAATTTTAGTTTAGTTTAAGTCCAAAAACAACCAAAGGCCTTCAAAGGTTGCTGCCACAGCTCTGTAGCAGACGGGGCGGCATCACCACCTACCGGGAATGCGGATGAAGGACCAGCCGTGGAGTGGCGTGATGGCGTGCAGGCCGGCCAGCGGCGACGGAAAGAAAGAGTCGTGAGGCCTCCGCGCCTGAACCGCCCGGACAGGACTCCCGAAGAGCAGCGCCTGCTGTTCCACCGCCCCGCCAGCCTCCAGACGCTCGAACTCCGCGCTCCGGTCCACGCAGTGCCACTGCCGGAACCCAGACACCACCTGCCAAGGCGAGGGATGGTGCAGGTGTCAAGGATCGCACATAAGAAGATGGAGCCAACCAACCGGTGACATTCAAACAGCGCTGTGCGCGCAGCGATATGTGCTATATGGTCAGCTTTTATGCGGCACTGACAAAAGTTACATTATAACAGGATGCAAGCAAGATTAACTATTTAAGACTCAACTTTCCCCAGAGGGGTGGAGCAGTAGTTTGAACATGACGCTATGAACCTGGTGACTTGAATTCGATTTGCGACCATGGCTAATATCAGCAGTGAGTGACGTCCTAACAGTTCTTAGGCCTAAGCAAAAGTGTCAAAGAACGTAAAAATGAAAGTGAAAGGAAAGTATTTACAAAAAACATAAACTATAAAGGAGGTTTTTGTTAATCCTATGACCACATCCATCATTTGGCATTGTGGATGGAAGCTCAGAGCCCCTTTGCAACTTGCCAGGCAGGGGGTTATTTATTGGCTCTCAACATTTCTTGCAATTCACCTGTACAGCAGAATACGGCAACAATATCCCGAAGACCAAATAATAATAAATAAATAAATGCTTTTACCAGATAAGGCCCACTGATTTATATAGCTCTTTTTCAGAAGCGACCTGGCCACAAATGATAGCTCAATGAAGTGGCTTATCATGTGGGAATTTATAGCAGCCAAATACTCAAACGCATGTTTCTAAATGTTTGCATGTTCTCCACAAGCATGGGGAGAACATGCAAACTCCAAATATACAGCAGGCGCCAGGGGTCGAGATCGAACCCACAACCTCCTGTATACCAGGCGAGGTAGTTAACATCTCGCCACCGCGGTGCCCCGAATGTAGGTGGCTGCATTGCTAAAGCAACCAGCACGGTCCAGGATTTCACATCCCAAGGTTTCCATGGCAAACCGGCTCGGTGATGCACACTGATTGCTAAGTCTTCCTCCAGAGGCCTTCAGCCTCCAATAGAATGTTTATTTTTATTTAATCTAATTACACTATGTAACACAATTTTGTTCCTGGGTAGTAAGTGTTATTTCCTAATTGCTTATGCCAAAAAAGTATAGAAAATGGCTATTATTCCCCACAAACTTAGCTTTTGTGACCAGGACAGTGATATTTTGAAATCTACCTATTTTCATTTAAGTCAGAAAAAAAAAATATGAATCAAAATGAACATGTATTTATACTTAAGTAATACAAAAATTACTACAAAAGATTTAGAAGGGAGTAGTTTTTCGAGATTTACGATTATACTGTAAATCACTTTCACGAATCAGCCCCCAAATGTAGTCTCCCATCACGATCTCGTTATACTGTCCTTGGTAGCGGCGTTCAAAGTCGAGCATATCCTGGTGGAAGCGCTTGCCTTGTTCCTCCGAGTACGCTTCCATATTCTCCTTGAATTAATCAAGATGAGCAGCAAGGAAAAGGGCTTTGAGGGACATCCAACAGCCCATTGTGCCGTAGTTTTTCACCAGTCTCAACCAGCTCCACATAATTTCCAACCTTGTGATTGCCCAGGAAGCTACGAACCACTGTGACAAAGCTGTTCCAAGACGCTTTCTCCTTACGAGTGAGCTTCTTGGGGAATTCATTGCACTCCAGGATCTTCTTTATCTGTGGTCCGATGAAGCTTAGAGAAAAAGTCTTGAAGGTACTAGCCACGCCCCCTCGAGGAACCTTTCCGATGGTTCCCGAAGCATCCTTCCCGATTCCGCCTGTCACCTTTGGCCCAGATGTTATTCCCTCTTAGGATTGGATGCCGGTTACATAATAGTGCCTGTACCCAGTTACCCTCTGGCACCCACTGGATGGCACTCTCTCATTACATCACTATTTATATTACTGGAAAGTTCTAGAATGTTCTAGAAGTTACTCCAAGTTTACTCAGCACTGAATATATCTGGAATGTTTTGAAAAATAGGTAAATTAAAAAATATCACTGTCCTGGTACCGAAAACAAAGTTTGTGGGGAATAATAGCCATTTTCTGTACTTTTGAGGAATAAGCAATTCGGAAATAACACTGACTACCCAGGAGCAATAAATAAATAAATACATGTTACACAGTGTTATGTATGGATTAAGGGAAATATTTAGTATAAGCTTTGTAAATATGACCCTGCAAAAATTAAGAAAGCTAATGATGCAGAGCCCCCGCAGATGCACGATCGTACACAACGCTGCCAGCCGTGGGGGACAGATCAGCTTGGCTGGGTATCTCAATGCTGCAGCTGACAAATGTTGCAGGGCGGTATCCAAATAAATTTCGATTTAAAGCTTTCATGACTGCAGGGATTCATCTTCTTTGTTCTTTCGGTAAAGTCACGTAGAATTAAACATTTCCCTTCTACGTGACTTTACCGAAAGAACCAAGAAGAGGTATCCAAATATTCACGCTAAAACCATGCCGCGGTGAATGATAATGGACCTTTCCCTGTTGGGAATCCCAGATCTCCCCTGTGATGAATATTAGGCTTCTCAATGGAACCACACCTCACCCGGTAATGTACAATGGGCTGCCTCGATCGCCAACCTTCCCACGCAAATACTCAGAGAATGGCGATGCACAGCTAGCTGGGTGGTGCTTGTTAAATCAAATCACTGTCACAATTATTCTCTGTCCATCATGACACCTGGGGTGGATAAATTAAATACCAATATAAGGGAAGTCAAAAGTTATACCAGACCCCAGTGGAAATATGGAATTTCTACCACTGGAAAATGAGTACAGCCCCATCATTCACATATGCAGAAAGACAATTTTACTCTGAACATAAATACACAATTTGTGCATGAAGATCACATGCATTGCACACGAAACAAATCAACTTGTAATTGAGAGCAGAATTACTCAAGTTATGATTTTATGACCCGATGATTAAAGCACTGTGCTGTGAACCCAGCGACCAGAGTTCGACTCCCGGCAACAGGTCCTGGTCCCGCCCTTCACCACCCTGACCAGTCTAGTGAAGCATGGTCAAACATTCCCACAATACTGAGAATGTAGAGAGTCCATCCAGCAGTGGGTTGACAAAGGGCTCGTATAAATACATGTATTGCTACCCACATGCCAAATTTCAAGTTTGTTGCATGTTGGGAAGTATGCTAAACATTTCGAACAGACACACATTCACAAATTTCCCTTTTATATAGATGAGTGTGGTCTTGAAAGTGTAATCTCTAAAACCTACAACTGCATTTACAACCACTGATTGTGAGGTGCTCTGCAACTACACACCTGCCAGTTTTCTGTGGCAGCTGTGACCCAATATGTTTATGATTGTTAGGCCAACGGTGAAGTCCTTTATTGCCAGACCCAAATTAGTCTGCATTGCAAATACCACACGGTAGGCAGGCAGACATTGTTGAAGTGCCAAAGTGCTGCGAGTTACTTTTCAGGAGCCAACTCTTATTTTCAAATTTTGGTCGTTCCATTTAGCACATTTCCCCTCTCCTTCCTGCCATGAATTAGAACGCTCCTATCAGCCATTTCTCTCTCATCCACTGAGACAGGGAAGATCTGTGATGTCACCCGCATGCGGCAGCGTTACGCAGTGTGCCTGCTGACGTCACGCACCCCCCCCCACCCTCCGCGTAGGCCGTGTATTAATCCAAGACGAGAATCCAAGTCTCGGGCGAAGCCGGGTAGTAAAGCTAGTCAACGATAAAAAAAATGGACTGGATATCATAAAACTCCATCATCAGGGGACTTTGCGAGAAATTCGGAAAATTGCGTCGCGAGCTTTAATCACGCGTCTTATACGGTCTGGACAGGGAAACCAGGGGACCTTGTGTTGTGTGAGGGGCACAATGCAGCACACTGGACGAGTTGGACAAGAAGCTGGTGTGAGCAGAAAATTAACTTCGCCATTTAAATATAAACTGCTATTATTTCACTGACCACCCATGATGTAATCTATGGCTACACTTAATTTGCTAAGGGCAACAGGAATATTTAAAAATAAATCAATCATCACACAAAGACCTGACATCTATTTTTGATGTATAAATTGCTGCCTGCTCAAGCCTATGCATCCCCATGAATGAGTGGTGTTTCAAGTCACTTTTAATTTGCAAGCATTAAGGTTTGAGATGTGCTTTTCTAAAGTTACATTTCCAGTGAAAAATGGCTCCTTTTTAAAATATATATTTTGAGTATTTGCTTAGGGGAAATTGATAACCAAACTGAACCCATACCCCCCACTGTGTAACCTCCAGTAAATGCAGCACACGGCAGGTGCGAGGGGAAGGCCAGGTCAGGTCATCGCCGAGACGGAATCTCTAAACTGTGGTTGGCGCAGCGGTGGGTTGCGCAGAGCCTACGGGTGGCTCCGCATGGCCACTCCGTAAACACCACCGGCGAGGCATAAACAATCCTGAAACCGAGCGCACTCCACTCCCCTTTTCACAGCCGCTCTTGCGAAACCCGACCCTGCCACAAAGTGACCCGTCCGTGTACCTTGGTACCCCAAACAAAAATTACTGCTTCACTCACTCAGTTGCCCCCGCTAGAATTAGAGAGGTGCCATTACTACGGGTGGCGGTTAAGAAAATAAGCGTCCGTGACAGGTGCAGGAGCCAAGCACCTGCCGGACGGTATGAGCCACGCGCGAGCGAGCTAACGGGCAGAGGTGTGCGGACACCTGCCGGGAGCGGCTGCGACGACAACGCTGCCTGCTAACGTCGCGGCCGTGACACCTGCCGACACCGTGAGGTCATGCCCCCGCCCGGTCATGCCCCCGCCCCCCCACCAAGCATCGAAAACAAACCTGGGAGGGAGACTGTGGTCTTAACACCGCTTATCTGCCGAGAAGAGAATGGGTCGTACAGAGGGGGCATCACCGTGGCTTGACAAGTAATTCCAAAAGACACCTGAGCAGGCAACTGCAACAGCAATCCGTCGTGGAACCCTGGGCTAGCTTACCAGTCAATCTCATTACATTTACATTGTAAAAAACAATATCACCAACTGTAGCTCATCTGTATCTTTGGCTCTGTAGCAGAAACCAAAACCCAACATTGATTATGATGTGTATACATTTTTGTCTTGCTCAAGCCGAAGCAAGCCATGAGAGAAACATAATTTAATGAAGGCTACTCTGAATGGGTTTTGAGAAGGTAAACAGGATGAGAACACAGACAACTCAAACAATAAACAATGACGCTCTTGGAAGCTGCGCCGCATTATGTTTAAATGCAGTGCTGAGAGCGTTCAGTGAGCGTTTAGCCCAACGGCGAGCGAGCTTCGGCTCCTTTAACCTGCCAGCTGCTTTGTGCAATGGTGTTCACGAAACACTCAAAAAAATTATAAAGATTAGCTATCTACGTTGATATCACCAGCCATCTTTCCTGGAAGAAGTGGCCTCAAAACAGGCTCTTCATAATATTAATAGGCGTGTGTGTGTTTATTTTCGCTTGAGTGCATCTGATTGATGAAGGTGAAGTCTAAACAGCCGACAATGTAAGCCCGCGTTATCTGGCGAGCTTCCCGCTCCCGCAAATCATAATGTGCTAGAATCGCCGGCGTGCACCCGCACTATTGTGACATTAGCACATTACGATTGATTACAACGGCCATGTGGTATGATAACATTGAGCCACGTACAATTAATAAATTTTGTCGACCTTTTGAACTTTTAATTACATAAACATTTAAAATTGACCTATGCAATCATGATCCATTAACAGACCAGGTGCTGTGCTCATAACATTTGCTGTAGGACTGCAGTGATAATGACACGCAAACAGACACAGCCACACACACACACTCACGCAAACTTAGCACACGGCCAAGATGACACACAAGGCAGGTGTGACAACCTGTCCCTAATCAAGGCACAGTGCCGGTCTTATTTACCAAGATTAGCATTACCACACACTTGGAGAGTCATGCATCTCCTTTAAAACGTGTTTAAAACTTGGCAGATACTTGGAGAACGGCAGACTTCAGAGCAGCCAATAAAAATTAATTGGGCAAACGTGTATTTACAGACGCAGACAAAGGCATCTTTTACAGGGCAGAGAAAATGCAGAAGCATTTAAATTTATAATTTTATTTGATCAACAAATAATATCAGAAAGCTCCTATTAACACTGCCATGGCACACTATCGGTCACATGGCGAGTACTTGACCGAGGTGTGTGTTGATATAGTTGATGCCCAGGACTGCTTCAGATACAATTCTGCACTGCTGTGCACATCCAAGAACAAAACATGCACCTCTGGTAATGTAGCACATGTCCAACATGGACCCCAACAGCGACCCAACTGAATCCCATCCTGGCTTCTCGCTACCACGTAAACTCTGGACCACGGCGAATCGTCGCATTCGGACACCTGTCGCACGGTCGGTGCGCCCCCTTCTTCTACATGAGTGGAGGACAAAAGAGAGGTCCCACCTGCGACTTCGGAGAGGAGCAAATGATGGGAGCGTGCGGTCACCCTGCTGGTGGCCCACGGAGACCATTTAGCGACATCACAAAAGCAATTCATCAGTTCGCAGCCACCAGCGCCGTCGGATGGTGAAAGAACCCGGACATTGATTCATAACGTTTTTGTCGTTCCAAAAATCAGTTGCTTATCTCTGTTACAGGCTGCGCGAAAGCAAAAAAATTTAGCCACAACACTGACACCCACGCGACATGTAACACACTCCTCTGTGTAACGTAGGTTCATAAATGCATATGCTAGAGCCAGTAATGCAGACTGCATCGTTTAAAACGTTTCCGATCACAGGCGAGCAACAAACAGCACTCTCAAAGTTGTAATAGATAAGAGTTTAACACATCTCTTAAAATTGAGCAAGGTTAGTATTATTAGAACTTGGGAAAGAGACGACTAACAATTATATATTTTTAACCAACTAAGGCCCACTGAGCTATTAAAGCTCAGTGGGCCTTAAGTGGAGCAGTGCTAGGGAAGATACAAAGAGCAGAAAGAGTGGACTAGCCCCATTGTGTGTGTGTAGACAGAGCAATCGTGCTGGGTTCAATCGTTTAATTCCCACTTACAGTCGATAATGTTGTGGGAGCACGCCATCTGCTGGAAAATGGTTATTAATGACCTCAATACATAAAGTAGGCCATTGTATGCAAATGTAATAACAAATCATTGGCAATAACAATGTAGGCACGGCAGGAGTTGGCAAAGCCACGAGTCACTCACCCTTTGGCTAAACCGAAGCAGGGGAATTTTAATATGCGTGATGTGCACATTAAGTGTACACACAGCATGACTTGGATGCACGTAGTGGACACAATTTTGAGGATGAGGCAGGAAATGACACAATAAACAACGCAATGAAAAGGAGAGATGAGTATTGAGTATACATTGACTACATAGAATTTTGTAAAAAAAGAATTATACTTTGGACCAACTAATACGCACCTGGGCAGAGCAAAGATTCAACAGCAAACACACAGCGATACGAGCCAGGTGACCGGAGTTTCACTCCCGGCCATGGCTGGTATCAGTGGCGATGTCTGAAACGGACCTGGACCCTCCCATTTAGTCAACACGTAAAATATGGTCAAAAATACCGACGAGCCAAATGGCAAAGGAAGGCTGTCAACCAGCAGTGGATAAACAAACGAGTGTAAATTATCAACAAAATTAATTATCATGCACAATGCCTTAGGATTGAGAAATAAATTAGGAATGGAGCAACAAAGTCATATCCTGTATTAAATCCTGCAGCAAACAGCATAATTAATCTTAGGAAAACCGCACGTTTCTACGAATGCTGCTCAACCTATTTGAACGCGGCTGCCAATGCATGTATGTATGTTGAACTTATTTCGCACTGTATGTAGCCGATCGTGCCAATCGGAGGTACACGAATCGACCTTGAGGCCTCCCCGTGGCAGGCCACCTCGAGGCAAGGGTGGAAGTGTGGAGTCTCACCTTGGGGAGGTAGCCGAGCAGGAAGGAGGGCACGTCCGAGCGCTGGCATTCGCGCAGCACGGTGGAGGCCGTCCGGCGCGAGCGCACGGCCTGGCGCACGTGGCTCAGCACGTGGCTCGCGTGAGCGGTGAACACCAGCTCCTGTATGGCACAGACAGAGGACGACAAGTCACCCCCCCATCCAAGTGCTTCTCGAGCTCTCTCGCCTCCTCTCCCCGAGCGACGCTTTCCAAGCCGAGCCGTGCTCTTGCTCCGATGAGCAATGAGGCCCGGGGTGGTCCTGCAAGCAACCTTTAAGTAGGCCCGGACAACCGGCGCCAGGCACAGGCCTGCGCTGTGTATTGCATTGGCCATTCGTTCAACAGCGGAGGGAGCAAAGATGATGGGATATGGCGTCAATGTGGCGAGATGTTAGATATCTCGCCTGGTATACGGGAGGTCGTGGATTTGATCCAGACCATGACGCCTGTATATTTGGAGTTTGCATGCTCTCCCTGTGGTCCCGTGGATTTTTCTCCGGATTCTCCGTTTTTTCATTCCACATTTAGAAACATGTGTTTAGAGTATTTGGCTGCTATAAATGTCCACTTGATAAGCCACTTCGTTGGGCTATCATTTGTGGCCAGGTCGCTTCTGTAAAAGAGCTATATAGCTCAGTGGGCCTTACCTGGTAAAATAAAAAAGTTATAGTTTTTATAGTTTATACTTTTAGCCACCTAGCTTGCTAGCTTTCTTTACCCCAACAGCAGCAAAAAAAACTTAACCCGATTTTAGATGTCTCCAACAACCAGCTGTCAACCTACACCACACTCAAAATGGGCAGAGTGAACACTATCCAGTTGAGATGCTATTAAAGACAAGATGGTAGGTAAGAAGGCACCCTGCAACTCATGATAACAAGAAAATCACCAATTATGCTGTGTTGATCGATCACTGGAAATGCACTTCCATAAATAGGATGAGATTCAAATATTCCTTTTCATTCAATGTCCCTTTTGCATTAAATTGCAGTAAACGTGCTGCTACTTCCAAACGCAACATACGAAATAAATCTGCAACTGAATGCAATCTTGTCACCTGGCCCTTATTTGTATTTTTACTTTCAAGAAATAAATCTCGTTCACACAAAAATCGTTAGCATGGAGACCCGTGGCACTGTTCTTCAAGCTGCGTCTCTCCATGTACAGAGCGTACAAACTGGCCGAGTGAATTCAAGCTGTGGACCAACTGGCCAGCCGGAGGGCGGCCGCCCACAGCCGACAAGCCAAGGACACAACAGAGCTTGCCCCACTAATTCTGCAGAGACTTTGCTTTGGTTTTGCTCAATCTGATTGCATCCATGCACAAGCTGCTCCACTATTCACGCCAAATAGGCATCTGATCCTATTGTAGACAAAGGGCCCAGCTGTCAAATCATTTGGCCCTTATATAACAAAGTAGAGTTAAATTAAACAATAATGCGCTACGTAATTAAAGTAAACGATCACACCAAAGTGCAAACACAATTAGTGACAATAGGTTTTTTTTTAAGCTGAAAATGTTTACAACTACAATCTGTCAAAATATATACTGAATTATAAACGAAATAACTTACATTTTTTTCTCCATTAAAATTAAATACAACTTTCAACGCTCCATAACCTTTGAAAAACACTTTACCAATAGTACAGGCCAGTACTAAATTATAATCGGACTTGATTTGGAGCTTTCGTGACTGCAGGAATTACTCTTTGGTTCTTTCTGTAAAGTCACGTAGAAAGAAAATAATAATTAAATAAGAGCATACGACGTTTCAATTGCAACACAAGCAATCATCATTGGGTACAAATGAAAGAGAAAATAAACCTAGTAAACTTAGAAATATAATGCAATACAACACAGAGAGTCGGCTAACATAACAGTCAACACCCTACCTGGTTGATTACGTTCTTCCAAAGATTGCTAAATTTGAGAGAGAGACAAAATACAGACACGGAGACACAGACAGACACATAAGCAGAGAGAGATAACACAGAGACACACAAAGAGAGACACACAGAGAGAGACACACACATAGGCACACAGAGAAACAACGCCTCTGTGTCGAGGCCTTAAATAAATAGAGAGGGGGCAGAGAGAGAGGGGGGGTAGAGAAATTAGCATGTCAACGAGAGATATGGAGCTTTCGTGACTGCAGGAAATAATAGAGCAACAACACGAGGACACACAGAGACAGAGAACACACTTAATCAAACAAACTTAGTAAAATTTGGAAATGTAATGCAATGCAACACAGAGAGTCGGTCAACACACAATTAACGCATAGCCTGGTTGATTACGTTCTTTTGTCCCACCCCTCCTCCTGAAGTCACTTCAATGGGACTCACTCTGGTCATACTTTTTACATGCCCTGAAAAAGAGTGCTCACAGCATGTCAAACCTACATCATTTGTAAATCTCCGAGCAGGAATAAACCAGTAATTGGGCTGACACTGGAAACAACTCATTAAGCACTAGAGAATTATGGGTATGAAAATATGCATCTGTATCGATGTAAAATTACAATTATATTTAATCAGCCCAAGTGCCTTTAGGACTGTTATTCGGCCATATTTATCTAAGCAACTATACCAATGTGCAAGCTTGAATTCTGGACTAGTTTACTTGCGTATTCAAAAGCTGCTGGGTAACATTAATCGGTTGATGAACAAAAAAATAAAACTTTTATGTGAAAAGACAAGACTGTTGTTGATTTGAGGTTCGAAAGCCTGGTTAATCACAAGTGGCGGCCCAGATTCAAACACAGAATCTGAGCAGTGTGGTTCACTGTAACGTGGCATTAGCCTTTGATGGCTAATGCAACGTTAATCAAAGACGACAATAACGACAGAAGAACAAAAATAATATGTGCACAAGTTAATGACGTCAGCGCCAGTTTCTTGAAATCATTCCCATAAAACTACCAGTGCCTGTGACTACAGATCCACACACGAACCTCAAGTGTGCACTTAGGAAGCTCATTGATATGTAGGCATTATTCCGAATACGACGCCCACTGTGATTGCATCAAGCAATCTGTGGTGGCCCTGTCCCGAGCCGGAGCCTCCTCAAAAGGCTTCCTCTATCTATCAGAGGTGGGGGGGGGGGGGCCCCAGGGAGCACGCAGGGGGTGGGGAGGCGCAGTTGGGCCGGCCGTTAATCAGCACGGAGAGTCGGCCGCCACGCGGGTGTCAGCTCACAAGCTTCCTGGAACGCGCCTCCCAATGGTCGGGCCACACGTGCGTGCGGCTGTGGGAGCTGTGAAGGGGCTTGTATCTGGGGCCATCGCAATAAAGTTCATTGCATGGCTTCCGGTGCAGAGCAGTGCCGCTATTCGATGGACAACATTAAATCGGCTGCTGCCGCTTTTAACAATTGCTTCATCTCTTGGAAAAAAACAGGGACTGTGCCGCCTCCAAATTACCACCATCATGACATTCCCTGGGCAAAGTGGAGGCGTGCAGGTTAGGAGTGTCTGTGCTACTTGGGAGTGCAAAGCGCCGGTTACTGTTGTGGTATTGTACTGTATTCGATTATATATGTAATTACTCACACAAAACATGATCTCCCATGGAATACCTGCTGCAATTTGGCTCATATCACTACACGAAGATATGAATAAGTGCATTACATAAATAAATGGTTATGAGCAGGCAAATATGGAAAAGAATAAACCATCGATATCAACACAAGTTCAAGAGGCCGTCACGGCTACTGCAATTGCAGCCATCACCCCTTGAGCATTGTTTTAGTGGGCACTGCCACCCATTGACAAACCAGACTCTTACCTGTAACACGGGGCTGCTTTTTACACCGGGCATCGAGGTAACTCTCTGGGGAGAGAGCAGCAGCGCACGCGAATGCAGGTACGGCACGCGAGCCACCTCCTCTGGCCAAGCCTGCTCGTACTGCAGCCGGTACGAGGCCTTCATGGCAAGGAACACGGCCAACCACCTACAGGTAGGCAGGCAGGAGCGCACCAGGAAACACACACACATCACTACGGTTCACTTACTGCAAGGCGAAGCAGCAAACAGCATGGAGCCTGAATTGGCCGACAAAATGTCAGTGTTGAGATGGCATTTTAGTAGGACCAGGAGGATACTTGTGCCGAATTCATGGAATGCAAATTCGTTATTTTATGCTGCGGCCTCATTCATGCAAATTGCAACCTCACAGCACTGTGCACAATGTGCAACATGCGCAGTTTACAAATGGAGGCACGGGAAACCGCAGGCAAGGCAGAGCCAGAACCGGAGACAAACAACTGCCCGATACCCTGTGGTCTGTGAGTAGGGGGGGCAGTACTTGCCATGCATAATCACAATTGTTTAACGTGTGGGTTCATTTTCTGATTTGGCAAATGTGGACCACGACGCAAGCACACAATGCCCGTCTCATGCTAAAGATGTCAAAGAACCTTGAACGTCAACCATGAAGCAGGCAACGTGTACTCTATGATTAATACACCTGAAGTAGCAGCCAGGGTGGCCGCTGGATTCGAACTTCGAACCATTGCAACAAGCGGCAAATGCGCACCGTCACCGCCTGGATTAACATTGGTATCTTTCTAAAAGTGTTTGATCTATGGGATTCCACAAGAAAATAAAGGGAAGTGAAACAAACAAAATGATACTGATAACAAGTTAAACGCTTGAAATTTGTTTTAATTGACAGAAAGCTTAACACAACTGCTACTATAAAAAACGTGAAAATTAAATTTTACTGGTTAAGAATTACATCCAAGCGTATTTTTTTACATTTCTGGGCTAAACCTCGAAATGTTTTGATAATAATGTTTTGGTCATTTCAAAGCTCCAGTCTCATAATTGGTCCGAGAGGCCTTGGTCCGAGAAGCCTTGTACTACAAACAATATATGATAAGGATGAGCTACGCCTGGCACTCGGCCTGCCCCAACTAATCTGTAGTAAGTGCCCGTGGCACTGGGTAGAGGAGGCTTTACCTGACCAGCAGCCCCTGCAGCATGAGGTTAGACAGCTCGGCAGGAGAGGTGTCCACAAAGCGCAAGAAGGAGAAGGAACTGTTGTTGCTGCCACCTGCACACAGAGGTGATGATATATTTTATTATACAATGCGATTCGTGCAAATTGCATCTCAAATACACTGTAGAATTTGTAACATGCATATATTTTGCAGGGAGGCCTGCGTGGAAAAACCCGTAAACAGGCAGCCAGAACAGGAGCCAACAATTTCCCAAGCTCTCTATTCCTATATTGGGAGTTTTGTCTCACTCCATTAATGGGTGATTGTACATTTCCCGCACAACTCCCTGCCACCGGCCAGCACGGTCCAAGAAAAGAATAACAGAACCCCTCAGTCGGATGTACGCATGGTGATAATGTGCAGCATGAACATCGGGGTGCACACTGTATGTGAACATGTATGTCTCTCCACTCGGCACAATGTGCAGCCTATTTTTGGATCATCGTAAATGCATCCTGCGTCACAAGTTTTTTTTGTTCAACCTAACCCTAACTCCAGAGACCAGGATGAGTTTAATTGCAAAAGCGATCAGGGGTATCAGTCTGCCAGTGGGGGGGGGGGGGGGGGGGGAGCGATAATGATATGTATAACAGCAATTGAGTAGTTTGCATGTAATCTTTGAATTTGGAAAAAAATGTAACCCAAATGCCAGCATACAATGGCCTACTTTTACAAATGACATGGAATAACGGAGAGAAGAGAACCACTGTAGCATTTAAGACGAGGGCACTGACGCAGTAAACAAAGAGGTGACTGGGTCGTCCATGAGTCGGAGAAATGAAAAGGCGCTACCGAGATTGACGATTCAAGTAGAGGTATCCACCCATGATTACACTGGATTCTCAGCAGTGGTAAATTGTGTGCCGATGGTCTTAGTTTGGCCACAGTACTGACGTTACAAAACAACAGATTTAAGTTTGATTGTGTGTGCACTTAATCTGGCAAATATTCCAGCTGTTGTTTTGTTTTACATGCGATAAGAAAGTCTACAGCTCGGCATGTGTGAAAGTGCATCAATCGTAATATTGATAACAAGTCATTTGAACGGATCTCATAAGTAGTTCTACAATATCTCCTTCTGCAGGCCATTCTCTTATAAAAGGTGATGCACAGCTCAGCAAGAATGCCAAATGGAGAATTCTTTGTTCATTACATTATGCCGATTGCACAATGGGAATACAATTTGCGAAAAAATGAAATATTGACAAGCTCATGCCAATCCATGCTGTGCTAAGACTTCAATATTGGCCAAATAATAACAGAGTCGAGAGGGTGGGTTTTGGTGGAAAAACATGAAAATCAAGTCTGAAGACCACACAGTATTTCTTACACGAGATGCTTTGAGTGAGCATCTTTTAAATGGTTCGTGCTGTAAAGCAACGAGGCCAATGCATCTTCTCTTTTAACACAGCGGAGACCATCAGCACACTGATTTCCAGTTGCTGTCACACAGCCATGTCCCCTGCTAACACCCATATATATAAGTAGCTGTCCTCTTAACATTTCGGTACATGCCTCTTATGCCAAACTGCAACACAAGCATAACTGATTTAAGCAATTATTACATATGCTAAGCTTGTAGCTACCAACAACGTTGGCTTTACATACTCATTCGTTGATATAACATCGGCATATATGTTTGAATCAATTCTCTTTGGTTCTTTTGGTAAAGTCACGTAGGTATAAAATAAAATAAATTTAAAAATAAAATACATTTTATACCTACATGACTTTACCGAAATAACCAAAGAGTATGGATCCCTGCAGTCACAAAAACTTCAAATCTAGATTGTTTAAATCAAGTTGAGGTTTCAGGAAATAGCTTGCAAGGCCAGCCTACTAGATAGATGCTTCTCTTCTCAGGCCATGTTAACGATTAATTGTGTTTGAGCTATGCCTGTACATCCCTGCCAAAGCGTATGTATTATTTTTCCACAACAATTGTGCACACGGATTGCTGTCGGCCAAGTTGCAAGGCCCTGTCTACATTGGTTATCTAGTTTTATAGTGAAAACACAATACAGGCAGGGCTATGGCAATAAAAGCCATAGGCAATGCAGGTGTATTTTCACTGGGTGTTTTAACAGCCATTGCTACCTGGTAGGTTATTAATATGGGCAGTTATATCACCTCCGTGTACATGGCACAATCTGTTTTACAAAAATGTTCCAGACAGTGCTTTATGATCCCTGGCGTGCGCGCGTAAGTTATGGCACACCCACTCGGGAAGGGTGCACGCTGCAAAAGAACACACCTATTCAGAAAACGTGCGGCCTTTGTTCGAACTGAAGACAAATAATCTTTTGTTTGTTTTGCTTTTATCAAGAAGCGAAATCTAATAATAAGAAACGCAGCACTGTAGAGTGGAAGGGCTCAACGCGAACGTGTGTGTGGTTGATCGCGTTAAAACACAAATATCCTGTTGATGAGGGCACTCGCACACAACACTGCCATCGGCCCCTGCACCCTTTCCCAGCGCGTAAGTCATGCACGCCATCTGGAGCTGCCATAACAGGAAGCCCCCGCCTGCCTGCCAGGCCTCTCCTGCTAGTGGGAATGCGCTTGCCAGACGGGGGCCACACTTTGAAGCCACAGGGAGGGCGGCCCGCCGCGGATATCCTGGTTGTAACACGAGCAACGCGAGCGTGCTCCGCTGCACAACAACCCGGGTCCGCCTGAGTCTGCCCCGCGTGCCCACGGAGCGAGCGCTCTTCGAGCCGAGGGCGACACCATATGGCGGCACGGTGCAGGTGGCACCGGTAAGGACGGGCCGGCGTGCTGCAGGGGGGCCCGGCGCGTGAGCGCCCCGGAACATTAAGAGTGCGCTCTGGCGCACAGAAGCGCGCTTCCGTCGTATGCGGCAGCGAAGTAAAAAGCACGGGATGCTCTGGCTACATCGGGCGTGTTCATCAAGGGAAAAAAATTAACCCGTAAAAACGAAGTTTTTCACTCTAAATCCTTTATATGCGTGGCGGCTAGAGTCCTCTCGTCCTCTGGCTTGAGATGGCTGCCACCTATGGGTCAGATGATTATCTGCAGTATTAAACAATTGGTAATTAAATATTTAATTTGTTTTCCCTAAACAGTGTAAAATTTAGGAAAAAAAATTTCACGAACATTAATTGTCTCGCACAACGAGTCTGTGTGCAAAATGTCAGCTCGATTGGATCACGGGAAGTGAGTTAAAAAACGACCGAAAGATTTTCACGGCAAGCAAGCACGCAAGCAAGCAAGCAAGCGAACTTAATATAAAGGATTTAAAAAAGTACCCTTGCCCATAAACAAAAGTGGCCGCTTAAAACATAAGGAATCAAAAATGACTCGAGAAAAACAATGGAAAACGTTAGACTATTACTTGGTGATGAATGCGGTTGGGATTCTAAGCAAAGATTTCTTAGGAAACAACAATCATAAGGTAAAATGCTGCTTGAAAAATTTGAAGAACACTGAAATATGTCTATACAATACACGGATAGTAGCTTGTATTCACTTATACATAGAACATTAACTTGTACAAAGGTATAAATAAAGGTGTAGCCCTGCCCATGGCACTGCTGGCAGAAGGGCCTTCACTAGAGGGAGCTCAAGAGAGCCCTGTTTAATCGAACTGGCTACTGGCCTATAAAAAAAACGTGCGTGTTTAACACAAAAAATGATTGCTCCAAGTTACAAAAGGTGTCCGTGCGATCGCTGTCCCCTGGTGGAGGGGGAGATCCGCGAGGTGGGGCGCTTACCTTTGGCGTGGAAGAGCGAGGAGTGGATGTGCTCAGCAGCGAACGGAGACAGGGTGGAAAGCAGCAGTCTGAGGCACAGCACACCAAGCACCATGGTGTACACAGTGTTACAACAAGGACACACAGCACCAGCAGTGTACGAAATTATTTCCTGCACGCCAAAGCAGACAAACTGATGACAAAATCCTCGAGCAAAACCAATTTTACGTTCGTTAGTAAGAGACCAAAGCAAGCCAACCAGGGATGCTAACATCCCTACACTCTCAAGGGTCGATTTCAGGAAATGTTTTTTCTGCCAGTCTTTACTAACAGCATTTACCATTAAAAATAAATAACGATAAAGTTACTCATAATAAAGTTTTTTGGGTTAGATCAGGTAAATGTTTTTCCACAAGTATGTGTGTTTAATGCAGACTTGATATCTTGCAGAAAGAAATCTATTTGGTGCTTGAACATCTTAGCACCTTTTGATACTGGCAAAAATGTCCCATAGATATAAATGTCTCGTTAAACCACCATCACCCGCCAATTAGTAAGGTTTGTCATGGAAACAAAACGTGCCAATTAGTTACTAGTTCAGCACACCGGTGTTGGAGAGCATACCCACAGCATTTACAATTCATATTTACGTGACCTTTTCCTAAGAATAATAATACATAATGAATGACAGATTCATGAAATATAAACACGTTTTTTTCATAACAAAGAAGAAAGTAAAATCTCAGCTTTTATGGCCGACTGGTCTTTTAAATTAACACCTGGGGTTACGACTCTGATATACCGGACGTACCAGGTGGAGTCAAGTTTACGTCGTTAGCGCAACGCCAATCAGCAGGAGGTGATTACAGCGTATAGAATGAAACGAACAACTAAAAATCACAAAACAATCAGGCAATAACCCAGCAACTGGTCAAGGACACAAGCGATTTATGCTCAGATGAGCATCGAGACAGCGGTCGTCTCTCCTGAAAGCCCTAAGCCAGTGGTGGCATATCCACATTCTAATGGCAGGCCAAATCCATCAAAAGGACAACCACCGGTGACTTTCCCACAAAGTGGTTCTCATTGAGCTCAGTTAACCTCTAGATGGGATTGAACTCGTAACCTTCCGACGTGCTAGTCGCTCGCTCCACCGCCGAGCCACCGGGTCCCGGCAACCAGAGAACCAACCAAACACCACCCCGCACCAGCCCCGGCAACCAGAGAACCAACCAAACACCACCCCCCGCACCAGCCACGAGAACCAGAGAACCAACCAAACACCGCCCCGCACCAGCCACGAGAACCAGAGAACCAACCAAACACCACCCCGCACCAGCCACGGCAACCAGAGAACCAACCAAACACCACCCCGCACCAGCCACGGCAACCAGAGAACCAACCAAACACCACCCCGCACCAGCCACGGCAACCAGAGAACCAAACAAACACCACCCAGCACCAGCCACGGCAACCAGAGAACCAACCAAACACCACCCCGCACCAGCCACGACAACCAGAGAACCAACCAAACACCACCCCGCACCAGCCACGGCAACCAGAGAACCAACCAAACACCACCCCGCACCAGCCACGGCAATCAGAGAACCAACCAAACACCACCCCGCACCAGCTACGGCAATCAGAGAACCAACCAAACACCACCCCGCACCAGCCACGGCAATCAGAGAACCAACCAAACACCACCCCGCACCAGCTACGGCAATCAGAGAACCAACCAAACACCACCCCGCACCAGCTACGGCAATCAGAGAACCAACCAAACACCACCCCGCACCAGCCACGGCAACCAGAGAACCAACCAAACACCACCCCGCACCAGCCACGGCAATCAGAGAACCAACCAAACACCACCCCGCACCAGCCACGGCAACCAGAGAACCAACCAAACACCACCCCGCACCAGCCCCGGCAACCAGAGAACCAACCAAACACCACCCCGCACCAGCCATGGCAACCAGAGAACCAACCAAACACCACCCCGCACCAGCCACGAGAACCAGAGAACCAACCAAACACCACCCCGCACCAGCCACGGCAACCAGAGAACCAACCAAACACCACCCCGCACCAGCTACGGCAATCAGAGAACCAACCAAATATCACCCCGCACCAGCCACGGCAACCAGAGAACCAACCAAACACCACCCCGCACCAGCCACGAGAACCAGAGAACCAACCAAACACCACCCCGCACCAGCCACGAGAACCAGAGAACCAAACAAACACCACCCCGCACCAGCTACGGCAATCAGAGAACCAACCAAATATCACCCCGCACCAGCCACGGCAACCAAAGAACCAACCAAACACCACCCCGCACCAGCCACGAGAACCAGAGAACCAAGCGAAACACCACCCCGCACCAGCCACGAGAACCAGAGAACCAACCAAACACCACCCCGCACCAGCCACGGCAATCAGAGAACCAACCAAACACCACCCCGCACCAGCTACGGCAATCAGAGAACCAACCAAACACCACCCCGCACCAGCCACGGCAATCAGAGAACCAACCAAACACCACCCCGCACCAGCTACGGCAATCAGAGAACCAACCAAACACCACCCCGCACCAGCTACGGCAATCAGAGAACCAACCAAACACCACCCCGCACCAGCCACGGCAACCAGAGAACCAACCAAACACCACCCCGCACCAGCCACGGCAATCAGAGAACCAACCAAACACCACCCCGCACCAGCCACGGCAACCAGAGAACCAACCAAACACCACCCCGCACCAGCCACGGCAACCAGAGAACCAACCAAACACCACCCCGCACCAGCCACGGCAACCAGAGAACCAACCAAACACCACCCCGCACCAGCCCCGGCAACCAGAGAACCAACCAAACACCACCCCGCACCAGCCACGGCAACCAGAGAACCAACCAAACACCACCCCGCACCAGCCACGAGAACCAGAGAACCAACCAAACACCACCCCGCACCAGCCACGGCAACCAGAGAACCAACCAAACACCACCCCGCACCAGCTACGGCAATCAGAGAACCAACCAAATATCACCCCGCACCAGCCACGGCAACCAGAGAACCAACCAAACACCACCCCGCACCAGCCACGAGAACCAGAGAACCAACCAAACACCACCCCGCACCAGCTACGGCAATCAGAGAACCAACCAAATATCACCCCGCACCAGCCACGGCAACCAGAGAACCAACCAAACACCACCCCGCACCAGCCACGAGAACCAGAGAACCAAGCGAAACACCACCCCGCACCAGCCACGAGAACCAGAGAACCAACCAAACACCACCCCGCACCAGCCACGAGAACCAGAGAACCAACCAAACACCACCCCGCACCAGCTACGGCAATCAGAGAACCAACCAAATATCACCCCGCACCAGCCACGGCAACCAGAGAACCAACCAAACACCACCCCGCACCAGCCACGAGAACCAGAGAACCAAGCGAAACACCACCCCGCACCAGCCACGAGAACCAGAGAACCAACCAAACACCACCCCGCACCAGCCACGGCAATCAGAGAACCAACCAAATACCACCCCGCACCAGCCACGAGAACCAGAGAACCAACCAAACACCACCCCGCACCAGCCACGAGAACCAACCAAACGCCGCCCCGCAGCAGCCACAGGAGCCTGTCGGCAAACCAGCCGTGCGCAGACAGCGCAAACTCACTTGCGCTTGTAGAGATTGCAGGAGGCAGGGAGGCACTCGCGGTACACTAGCTTGGGCACAGGGTACACCTCCGTCGGAAAGAAAAAGGGCGAGCGAGTCTCCTGGCGCTCAAAAAGGTCCGGGTGGTTGCACACCTGCACAAAGAGCAGGCAGCAGACACACACATGTACCCACGGCTCCACGCCCACGGTATGCCCACCCACCCGCCCGCGGTATGCACACGCATGCATGCACCTTCCCACCCATGCAACCACAGGAACGGGCACGACATAACAGCCTGCAATGTTGATAGCAAGCTCAACGAATGTCGTATTTTGAAAGCATTCCTAACTCGTTAAAAGTCTAAGAGGCAATTTTATTCCGCCTCAACCATTAAATGCCATCGGACATTACATGCAGATTTGTAATACCCCACCCCTACACAAAGAAAATGTAATTTTATACTCTTCCCTGATGGAAAATGTTGCTGGCAACCATAAATCCCTCTTCATCACCATAAACTCCGCACTATATAGCCATAAATGATCTTGTTCTATCCCATGCCTCAGATAAAAAACATCCAAAACTGTAAATATGCAGGAATATCTTTTTATCTCAAGGTTACAATCAGGGACGGTCGGTGAGAACAAGTACCACCTCCACAGCCGCCCCACCACCCCCCAATTAAGAGGCTGCCGTGAGCACGCCATGTTCGTTGGTGTGTCCGTGCACGTGTGTGCGCGTGCGATTGTGCGTGTGTGAGAGCCATGCCTTGCGGAACTGCATGACTAGGTTCATGAGGCTGCTTGTGGTGGTGTGGGCGAGCTGGGTGCCCATGGACGACTGCAGCAGATCCTCAATGGAGATCTTGTTTTTGAGGCCCTGGTATAAGAGCCGTTGCCTCGAATTCAAATGGCAGTAGACCAGCACCTCGATCTGCAATGTAAAAGCACACATAGGACATGTTATTGCAAAAATGTAGGCAATACAGAAGCCCCAAGTCACCCAATGCCACAGACTTGTTCGTGCCCACTACATAGCATTGCAGTGCACTTTTCACAACCACGCAGCATCATTAATGGGTGGCAGCAAGGATTATATTCATGACGTCATGTAAATATCCACTTCTTGTGCATGGTTTAGTGAAGAGCAACTTAAAGCTCTATTATGTCCAAGTTAGAAAGCTGCGTGATGGTTTCAGGTAAGGCTAAATGATTTCTGCTGCCTTGGTTCCAAATGCGTCTTCCGTGGTCGCCGCTACCTCGCCATGTATGCAGGCCGTGGATTCGATCCCGACTGTGATGCCTGTATATTTGAAGTTTGCAGGTTCTCCCCATGGTAGCGTGAAGATGGGTACAAACTGAGCAATCATTGGAAGGATGTTATTAACCAGGTAAAGTCTTAACTGACTGTGATGTTTCCATCCTACAGGCCTATGTCAGCTGTTATTTACGACTCTCTCTGTCTCTCTTTCGGTATGCCTCTCTCTTAGATCTCTCACATATCCTTTGGATTGCACTCTCATGCTCACATGTCCTTTGGATTGCGCTCTCATGCTCACATGCCCTTTGGATTGCACTCTCATGGTGCTAATCTCTCATTAATACTGCTGTTGTGCGCATATGCGGGCATGATACTCGTATGCGGCGACGGAAGCTCATTCATGCTAATCTCCCTCCCTAACCCCTCTCTCCCTAATCTCCCCCATTAACACAACTAACGTGCTTGCATCCGTGGATGTAATTCCTTTCCAGCTCAGACCCCGCTTGCTTGCCCATCGCCACATATATAACCTTGTTGTAACTGCTCTCTCGCTGGTTCAGCAGTTCCACTGCTGGATTCTATTTTTTCCACCTGAGGACGACCGCTTGTGTTGCGATCAAAACTTCGTGATTTATTTTATTTTATACCTACGTGACTTTACCGAAAGAACCAAAAAGTATGGATTCCTGCAGTCACGAAAGCTTCAAATCAAGACTTAACTTCTATTTAGCAATCTTTGGAAGAATGTCATCAACCAGGCTATGCGTTGTGTGTTAACCGACTCTGTGGCATTACATTACACTTCCTAATTTTACTAAATTCTGCTTTCTCAAACTTTCGATTTTCTTACTCTAAATATTGCCATGCTGCTTGTTTGTAGTACATTGTCTCTCCTCCGGCCACTATGGTCCAGAATTCCACACAACTATTCTTTGGAGGAGTGTGGTCTGCCTCTGGCCACTGTGCTCCGGAATTCCACACAACTCTCTCATTGTCCTCTGCCCGCCCCCCTCTCTCTCTGCCCCAACCTCTCCCCCTCTCTCTACATTTAAAGCCTCCACACAGTGGCGCTGTCTTTCTTTTTGTCATTCTTTGGGGGAGCGTGGTCAGCCAGGTGGAGAGTGTTGTGTGTTGTGTTGTCCGGCTCTCTGTTGTGTTGCATTGTGTTTCTAAGTTCACTATGTTTTATATTCTTACCTTGTGTTGCAATGGATTTTCTACGTGACTTCACCGAAAGAACCAAAGAGGAAAAGCATTCCTGTAAACTGTGTCAGTCACACGTGCTGACCACCCGGCCAACGGTGCCATGTGTAATGAACACTGTGCTGACCACAGCAGGACGCAAACTACTCTGTTCCTTGCGCAGTGTGCAGCGCGCATGCAGGACGTGCACCGTACACACACGGTGAGTGCCGTGTATGCCGGTGCAGTGCATACAGGCGGTCCCGCGGGCGCACACCTTATCGGAGAGCTCATTCTCCACGTCCTTCTTGATGCGCCGCAGCATGAATGGCTTGAGGATCATGTGCAGCCGTGACAATTGGTCTGAGGGAGGCGAGGGCAAAAACACACGTTAACTATTTTGGGACAGACTCCAAAAAATTCTGCTTATAATATAAATACATTATAATCTGTACGATTTTGAACATCTGCGATGTCACTGGAAAAGCAACTTCCTTGACCTTTCAATTGGTACACAACGCTCGCTGGCATACGTTCCACTATTAGGGCAGCGTTCACCTCAAAAGTGCGTCATGGGTAGTACAGAGCCAACACAGCCATTTCCTCACCGTAGCAAACCGAGGATCAACCGTGTCACAGTCACAGCACATATCACATAAACAATGTGGCCTGAAAACACGGATGTTTCAAATATCTGCATACAACCCAGATCTGGATGGAATCTGGACATATTTTCACTATTTGGATACAGCCTTATAAAATTATAAAATCAAACAAGGTATTTGTTTTAGGTTTTGCATTGTCACGTGTGGTCTGGGAGGTGTTGAAGAGAGAGGGAGAGAGAGAGACGAGGGAAAAGATGGTGGAAAGGGAGGGTGTAGTGAAAGGGGAAGACGGTGGAGTTGGGGAGCGGAACTCACTCTCGTCGATTACAGACTTGTTCTCGGCGTGGCTCTCGATGTCCTTGGAAAACCACTCGTTAAACTCCTCGTGAGAGTCAAACAGTGTGGGCATGATGAAGTGCAGCAGGGCCCAGAGCTGGCCATCGCAACACGCAGGCAGGCACACACGCAAACACACACACACGTGTAAGCGCGGGATGCAGGCAGCACCCACGTGGCAGCAAACAAACCCAGAGTGGCAGTGTAGCAAGGCAGGTGCCAACGCAGTAACTACGCACGTTCACAAACCACCACACAAACTGCACAAATTTCTGATTAAAATAGTTGTCCGGCATTCTGAAAGAAGCCACCTCTGGTGTGCCGATTTTACAATTATTTTAATTCCCTACAGGTAACAGGAAGCAGAGCTCACCTCCGCCATGGTGTTCTGGATTGGCGTGCCAGTCAACAGCAGCCGGTTCCGGCACTGGAACTGCAGCAGGATCTTCCACCGCACACTGCCAGCATGACACGCACACAAGACAACCACCACTGTAATTCACAGCTGTATGCTGTTGACATTACCACAACTACGCAAGGTTTGGAACATGCTGCCTTAATAATAACAACTTATACAGGCGAGGAGAAATGTGTGTATGTAGTGCACAGAGGAGATGTGTGTGTGCTACGCTGACCTTGTGCTGCTCTTGAGGGCCTGTGCCTCATCCAGTACCATGTACTGCCACTTAACGCGTTGGAAGTACTTGACGTCCTGCACCACCAGCTGGTAGCTGGTAATCACCACGTGGAACGGTGCGTCCTGGGTGAACAGGGTTTTCTGCAGGGCGGCACGCGCGCACATGCACACACAGTGGCCGCAGTCATGGAAACTGTAGCCACACAATGTCTTCATAGGGATGGGTATAAAGACATCGAATACCCACATTAACAAAAGTGGGTATTGGATGTTGACAATGATCATTGGCTGCACAGTCAATGTTCCTCATTTAACCAAGTACAAAATCAAACATGTTTGTGTAGATTGTGTTCTGTTTTGAAATGCTTGAAGAATCGTGAGATTTCTAGTAACAAAGGAGACATGGACTATGATAGATATGATGGGGAATATTTTTAATTAACATTTTTCTGAAATTTAATTACAATTATATATATTTGGGCCAAAACGCCCAAAGATCATGGCCTACTCCAGTGAAGTAATTCACGGGTCTCTAACATCCAATTAACAAAAGACCGGGCACTCTAGAAAAGCGCTGCCAACATTCTAGATTTGAAGCTTTCGTGACTGCAATGATTCATACTCTTAGGTTTTTTCGGTAAAGGCACGTAGGGAAAAATAAATAAATAATAAACATCTATCATAAAATGTAATAATAAAAATAATAATATAAATTAAATAATAAATCACGATTTTTCGGAGGCAACACAAGTCTCCGCCATCAGGTGGGACCGTCACAGCTAGATTTACTGCACCTTATTTCTATTAATTTCATTATTTATTCTGAAACCTGATTATTTATTTTTTTTTACCTACGTGACTTTACCGAAAAAACTTTAGAGTATGCTGCCAACATTCCCAGGCAGCGAAAGGTCCTGATTGGCTTACTGAGCCTAATTGGGATACTTCTTTCACCTCATGAACCCAATGATACGAGTTTTTAAAAAGCTGAATTTAACAAGCAGTTGTACAACATCACTTCTGATATCCTGTATGACACCACTAATGGGATCAAGTGTCAAGAATCTTAATTTATTGATGTTATAACTTATGTCTGATATTATTATAAGAACATCATCTTTAATAATACTTTGTGACTTACAATTGGCTATGTTCATTCAATTCAGTGAACATGGGCCAATTTTGACAAGGTAACAACAACGGCGCGATTCCCCGCAACACCGTTGCTCCGTCTCCGTCCCCGCCTCCCAGCGGCTCGCCAACACCGCCGCCAATCGTGGCGTCGGACTATTTGTCCAGCCGTGCCGTCGAGTCACTCACTAACATTTCGACAGAGGAACGCGATAAAGGGTCGGCCTGACGCGGGTCTTGTCGATAAAACGATCAGCAACATCCACACCAAACCCAGCGTGAAACTCAAACATCAACCAAGCCCCCAATCCATCAGAAAGATCCCTCAGGAAATTGCTCTGCCATTTGCTGACAGCTTCTGCAGTGGCACCAAGGTGGCGAGATGTTAACTACCTCGCCCAGTATATAGGAGGAAGTGAGTTCGATCTAGACATTGCGTGTCCTCCCTGTGGTCGCGTAGATTTTTCTCCAAGTTCTCTGGTTTTTCCTTCCACATTTAGAATCAACGTGCATTTAAAGTATTTGGCTGCTATACATTTCCAAACATTTATGCTATTTTGATGAGCGATAATTTGTGGCCAGGTCGCTTTTGAAAAAAAAGCTATATAATCTCAATAGTTTTTAGTTGAATTTTACCAAATACGTCATGCAGAGATTAGAGTGAGTTTATGATTATCAAGGTTGACACTACGGGCAATTGTTCCCCCTTCACACGTCCTCAACGGGATCAAAGCAAGCAACAGCACAATGCAGAGCTTGAACGGAGGGTGCACCCCTACCTGGCTCCAGAACTTGCGGATCACCTTCCTGTCATGAGGATTTCCCCAGTAAGGCAGCACCTGTCAGACAAAGGGGGATCAATGTGAGCGGTGACAAATCCCACGCAACTACCAGTCGATTAGACAGCTAGTGCGCGTGTTAAGTACCAAACTGTAGTGCAAACGTGAAGCATGTTTATATGCGTACACTTGAGAGTACGAGTGATCATAAATCATGGACAAGTGCCACATTTGTCTATTGTCCAAATTGTTTAAAATTATTTTCTACTGGTCCCATTATTTCAAAGTTTGCTATAATTGTTTAACTTAAAAAAAAATGTATACAGGCATTAGAACTACGTGATAGCCCCTCCACCACCACCCCTCAAAATATCCCACGTGGTAACAGCAGGGACTCAATGGGTAAAATACACACACGTTAACTAATTGGAAAGTGAAAACGGTCACTTGGCTGACCGTGCCAACACTCTAAAAAAATCCATAAAGAAGGTACACCGCTCCATCCCATCGTCTCCACCATTAACTCACCCACCAACAAACTGGCACGATTTCTGTCTGAGACCCTGCTTCCATTCACTGGCAAGATCACGTCAGCTGGACTTAACTCAGCTCACTTGGTTTCTCTAATCAAAGACATCTCACTGTCTCCAGATGATTTGCTTCTCAGTTTCGATGTAGTCTGTCTGTTCACCAAGGTACCTGTGCCTGACACCATTGCCAACTTTGGTGAAGCACTGCCTTACCAATACTAACTACACCTGGAATGGTAGGTACATTCACAAACAAGAGGGTACCCCAATGGGTTCTCCCTTATCGCCAGTGGTAGCGAATGTTTTCATGGAGAAATTTGAGACAGATGCCATCCAGAAATCCACCCTACGTCCTTCCTTGTGGAAGAGATACGTAGATGACACGTTCGTCATCTGGCCACATGGCCAGCCAGCACTAAATCAATTCTTCAACCACATCAATTCCATACACCCAGCCATCAAATTCACCATGTAAGTGAAAAAGGATGGCAAGTTACCATTCCTGAATGTTCTGATCGAGAAGAGACCTGATGGCTCGATGGAACATTCTGTCTACAGGAAAGCCACCTACACGGATGCCTATCTAAAGCCTGACTCCCACCACCATCCAGCCCACCTAGCCAGTGAGCTGGAGCACGTACAACAAACGCAATATCCAGGTTCGTTTCAACACAGTACACGAAATCCGTGGTTTGATGCCATCGGTAAAGAATGTAATTCCTTGACATGCAATATCCTGGTATCTCCAAACTAAGTTGTGGCTGCGGCAGCAGTTACATTGGGGAAACGAAACGACATGTCTCGGATCGTGTTCGCGAACACAAGGCAGGTCTGAAGCACAGTAGGACCAATACCTCTGCCGTTGCTGATCAGTTTTAACGCTGTGGGCACACACGAAATAGATTTTTCCAAGACGAAGGTACTCTGCAAACCCACTGGCTATCATCAGAGATTTGTTCATGAAGCCATCCAGATATATAAACACAGACACAACTTCCGAGAAGATGGGTACAAATTGAGCAATCATTGAAAGGACGTGATTAACCAGGTAAAGTCTTAACCTGCTGTGATGTTTCCATCCTTTCTGCGATTTTAGCTGACTCTGAGTTGCATTATTAGGTTGGATGTCTTTGTATTGACGGGCTGGATGTCCTTCTCGCTCAGTCATCGATGCTGCGACATACTAGGCAAGTCACCGATGCTGCGACATACTAAGCTCATGCATTGACATGCTAATTTCTCACAATACAATAGCCACTTCCACAGCCTTCAGGGAGACTATCTCTAGCCCCGCCCTCTGACCCTAAGGCTGCACCCATCTTAGGCCTATATAAAACCTTGTTTCAGTAGCTTTCTCTCTCACCTAAAGACAGTCGCTTGTGTTGCGATCGAAACGTCGTGATCTATTAATTTTCTATCTACGTGACTTTACCGAAAAAAAATCACAGAGTATAGATTCCTGCAGTCATGAAAGCTTCAAATCAACTCAAAAAGCCCCTTAAGCCAGAATTATGCATAACAGTTACATTACCCAAAACAAAGTACTCATATTTTCACACAATCAGGCAGTAGAAGACCCATCAGGGCCTGCAATTTAGAAAGTTGATTATTACTCTCAAGCTTTGAGAGACTTCAGTTTTCCCATTTACTCCAACAAATTCCTTCCTGCCTTCTTACACTTGTGACCATTTTTGCTATGCTTCAACCTTGACATGGTCAAAGTATTTCCAGCCACTGGCAGGTTTCTATGAAAACTGCAGCTGTTCACTAAGAACCGTAAATAAAGACGTGGGCTACTGAATAAGTGAAAATAAATGAAAAAGGAAAAAAAATCTGCAAGGTCATCAAAAATTATGTGTAGAGATGTTAATTACCTTGCTTTATTTGTAAGACTGCAATGCTTTTGACACTCAAGGTTTGAAGCACTGTTAGAATGTCTAAGTGCAAAGTGGAGGCTGAAAATAACTAAATGCCACCATAATAATTAACATTGCTGTTTAAACTCAGGAAAAAACATTGCTAATGACGCAGGCAAAGGACCTTATTCGGATGAAATACACACGTCTATACATTTGTGTTCACTCATTCATTTCAAGTGTATCTCCTGCAGGGCCACACTGCGAGATGATGACATCCAGGGACAGAGAACGTGCATTTGGATTACCCGGGAGGGTAAAGGGTTGGGTTCAGTGAGCGAGTAAACTTGTAATTAAAAGTACTGGTGGCTTCAAGTGGCAAATATCAAGGGTGCAGCGAGGTATGCTAACCTACATCTGAATGGAACAAAACGTGCAGTTCTGGGCAGTCTCCAGGCGAGTGTTGCACTGCGGTTGCATCTTAACGGAGAGCCCAACCCTGCCCGTAGCTTCCCCTAGCCCCCCACAGCCCAGTAATTGACTCAGGGAGAGCATATCTTCTGTACGACACACATCAAGTGCAGTGAAGGGTGTGTGTGGTTGATTGAGAGAGTCTGTTGCTAAACATAACTGGCAAAAACTATTTAAAGCAACATCTCATGTAAACAACCCTTTTTAAATGATGCAGGAAGCAATGCTTTATTGTACTGAGAACAGGGGTGGTGGAGAAATATTTATCGAAAGCCCAGCAAATAATGGATGACAAGACAAGATGATATCTCTATAATTGTATACTAGTGGGAAGTACCCGGCGTTGCCAGGGCGAAAACTATATTTAAAAACTCCACTTAAAAACATAACATATACATACACAAATACAGAAAAATGTAATGTATGGATAAAGTATTTGTGTATACATTTACCGTGTTTAGGAGAATACAACAGTGTAACAAACAAAAAAAATGTGGTAGTCCCCGCTGGCGACATTTACGACACATCGCAGCAGGTTCTCATTTGAAGCTGATTCGACGTAGGGGAGGCGGCACAGGACGGGTTCAGATAATTGTCACCGGTGTTGGCCGTGAGCGGGAATCGAACTCGGGTCGCCGGGTTCGTGGTGCAGCGCGCTTACCGCTACATCACCGACACACACACATCAACTTAAACACACACATGGACTTAAACACACACAAACATGGACTCTCACACACACATCGACACACACACATACATCATCGACTCACACCCATCGACTTTCACACACACACCCACTCACACATCGACACACACCCACACACACACGGACTCACACACATGGACTCACACACACATCACGCACACACATATAAGCTTGTCTTCAGGTGGAACCGTCACAGCACGATTGCTGTATCAAGTAAGAGAAATTCCAAGAAAACCGTCCTTGTATATATACTGGTTGAGGGTGGGAGGAGCCAAGGTAGGCCCTGGATATTATTATTGTGAGGTTGGTGCGGCTGAAGCACGCTGCTAGGAATGAGCCTTTGTTGTGTAGACAGGGTTGAACTGGGAGGTTCCAAGAGTTGTTAAGGTGCGGCTGCTGTAAAGGTGCGGCTGCTGTAAATGGGACTGAGCCTTTGTTATGTAAAGGTTGGTGCGGCTGAAACCGCTACACATTTACATCAGCCACACCTTAACAACTCTTGGAACTTCTTCTTGGTTCTTTCGGTAAAGTCACGTAGAAGGAAAATAATAAAATAATAAAAATAAAACATAATAAAATAATTCTCACGGCGTTTCGGCCACAACGCAAGCAGCCATCATCAGGTGGAGAACAGGTCTGTCGAGAAGGCAGAGTCTGAAAGAAGAATTATTTTATTTAGTTTTATTTTTATTATTTTCCTTCTACGTGACTTTACCGAAAGAACCAAGAAGATGAATCCCTGCAGTCACGAAAGCTTTAAATCGAAACTCTTGGAACCTCCCAGTTCAACCAGTCTATACAACAAAGGCTCATTCCTAGCAGCGTGCTTCAGCCGCACCAACCTCACAATAATAATATCCAGGGGCCTGCCTTGGCTCCTCCCACCCTCAACCAGTATATATACAAGGACGGTTTTCTTGGAATTTCTCTTACTTGATACAGCAATCGTGCTGTGACGGCTCCACCTGAAGACGGAAGCTTGTGTTGCCTCCGAAACGTCGTGATTTTAATTCTATTTTTACTTTCATTAATTTTAATTTTTTACCTACGTGACTTTACCGAAAAAAATTAAGAATATGAATCCTTGCAGTCGCAAAAGCTTCAAATCTAGAATATTTTTCTATCTACTTGACTTTAGCGGAAGTACCAAGGAATTGGGGAAATGCACGTAGATAAGTAATTAAGAGCGACGACGATGGTGTTCCGCTATTTTTGTACAAAAATCAGCCGCAAGAAAAAGCGGTAAATGAATGAAAGTCAACGAATAATCAATTAACTTATCCTACCTGTGACTATGAGCAGATGTGCACCATCTTCTTGGTTCTTTCGGTAAAGTCACGTAGAAGGGAAATAATAAAATAATAAACATAAAACATTATAAAATGTTCTTTATTATGTTTTATTTTTATTATTTTATTATTTCCCTTCTATGTGACTTTACCGAAAGAACCAAGAAGATGAATCCCTGCAGTAATGAAAGCTTTAAATCGAAAGATGTGTACCAATTAAGCCTAATTAACATAACATCACTGCTCAACCCCCCCCCCACCCCCCCGTAACTGAGGGGGCAAGTGTAAATATGTTAGAATGAAGACGAAATAAGCATTCAGTTTATTAATTTGTTTGTCCCTGTGCAGTAAGTGATGTTACGTGGCTGTTTATGCCTCAAGAGTACAGAAAAAGGCTATTCTTCCCCTCAAACTTGGGTGTTTGTGAGCAGGACAGTGATATTTAGAAATGTACCTACCGTATTTTCCCGCATATAGCACGCACACGCATATAACCCGCAGACGCATATAACCCGCAAAAATAGCGTTTTGTGTAAAACAAATTTCTGATAGCCCGCACCTCCAAATACCCCGCATGCATTCATATCTTTAACGTCGTTACCGCAGCTTCATTCCATCATATTAATATGATGTTTACATTTGTAATACATTCCACTATCAATTGTTAACATTTAAATCATAATGTGCAAAAAGAAAACAAACCGGAAACAGTGAACTTAAAACAGTAAATAAGTAACAAAAGTAAATATCCAATAAATAAGTAACACATAACTGGTAAAAAAGTAAGTACAGTTTTAGCACTGCTAGATTGCTCACAGCGCAGACAATAGCTGCACTACGGTAACGCTGTTCCCTCCCCCACAACCCCCACCTCTCTCTCTGCCCAGCTCTCCCATCGCCGGTAAACAAAGTGCACCCACTTGTCGTTTCATTGATATTTGCCATTTAAAGCCACCAGTACTTTAATTACAAACGTGATAACATGTGCAATTTTAGTGTAAGTGGTTTATTCAGCAGTGCTTTAGTCAAAGGTAAGTGGATAGACTTACCATGAAAAAAATAAACGAGTTATGACATGTCACACGTGTAAAATATTTTTGGGATAGCCCGCACCGCCATATACCCCGCAGGGGTAGTAGTATCTACTATCACTACAGTAGTATCTACTGGCTGTAGTAGTAGCTATAAGAACTCTATAGCAGTGTGTACTGGCTGTAGTAGTAGCTATACTTACTCTATATCAGCGTGTACTGGCGACAGCAGTGTGTAATGGCTGTAGCAGTAGCTATACTAACTCGAGAGCAGTGTGTACTGGCTGTAGCTGTAGCTATACTAACTCTACAGCAGTGTGTACTGGATGTAGTAGTAGCCATACTAACTCTATAGCAGTGTGTACTGGCTGTAGCAGTAGCGATACTAACTTTATAGCAGTGTGGACTGGCTGTAGTAGTAGCTATACTAACTCTATAGTAATTTTTACTGGTTGTAGTAGTAGCTATACTAACTCTATAATAGTACTAACTTCACAGAGTGTAGTGGTGAGGCCTAGTCCTGTGCAGAGACCCGGCCTCGCCGAGATTGCCCAGCCGGTCGAGGTGGCACCTTGGCAGGCTGGGGCTGGGTCGTTACCCCCCCCCCCCCACCATCCCCCCGCCCGCTCTATAGTAGTTATCTACGGACTATTGTAGTAGCATCTACCGACTCTATAGTAGTAACTGTACACATTGGGCTGGGGGGGGAGAAGAGAACGTCACACTGTGAAGAATTTACCTCAGCGTTGTTGTGTGTATTTTTTCTGCATTTTTTACGAGAATGAGAATTCCCCCCTCCCCCCACCGATCGCGTGTGCGCGTTGCTAGGGGCAACCACCGGTCAGCTTTCTCACGCATGCACAGATGCGCGCTTTGGCGCGCGCTTAGCGTAGTGATATAATTAATAGTACTAAATTGTTAATTTAACTACTTTAAAGTTGACGGATGTGAAATACGAATAGCGCTGGCTCACCACTGGGCTTATCGCACGGTATCTGGGTACTTTTTTAAAACAGAAACCCCACGTTTTGTGAGTTAAATCCGTCGAAAGTTGAATCCACAGACACACAGACAGACAAAAAATTACATATATAGGGAAGATGGCTGTCAGTAAAAAGACAAACAGGTTCCGAAAGTTGTTGGCATGGCATGCAAGAGATTACCTTGAACTTGGGTGTAAAGCGCGTAAATTCCTGGTGCCAGTTGTTGAGTGTAGAGGCAGGGGAAATGACCAAGAAAGGGCCCCAGATATTTTCTCTCTGCACACACACAGAAATATCACTTTTAAGTGAGCGAGCCGTTCAGGAAAAAACAAGGCTTTGTACTTATGTTAATCCAGTTTTCGCAAGTGGTCGCTGATTCACTCTGACCCCACACATATGAACCCACCACAGACAGATGGTGGAACATGTTTCGTCCAATATAATCGTCCAACATCTGGCCCTGTTGGAACAATACCGCTGAGATGGCTGCCCTTCCAAAAATTGCACTTGGGACACGGCCTTCTTGGGACATGCGAAATCACCAGCCAGATCTCTCTGCTCTGCCCACTTGAGTGGAAGAAATTACTGCTTCACTAATGAATCGTGGCTTGAGGAACCTTGCATGGTACAATGAACATCACAGTTATCATAACATTCTTATATTTGCCTTCCCATCACCAGACATTTGAAATAACTAAGGGTCACAGCTTGATAGCTTAACTTAGAGTTCCAGGAGAATGAGGATTCCAGCTAGGACCAGTGACCTTGATCTGAATTTCTCAATGATAGGTCCCAGAAATCTACAGCACAGATTGTAGGAAATTTGAAGCTGTTCAAGATCTTGGGGCCATGCTGGTGGCTACAGAGGGGAACAAGTGCGCAAAAGGCAGATTCCCCTATAGCCGTACAGACTTTTGGGGTAAATGCTGTTTATACAAGTACACACAAGAACGAACGCACGGACGTAGTAAAGTTGCCGATCCTCTCAACCTCCAGTCCCCATGCCTCTGCTGTATGGCTCTGCTACTGCTCGTAGCACCACACGTCCATTTATCCCTTCTCTGAAAGTGCTCTGTATACATGTGTAGTGACATTGCTGGATGTCATCAGGTTGTGGGTGTAGTACCAGTCCTAGAGGGGTACGGTGTGCGTTGAATAATAGCGCTGGATGGCACCATGCTGTAAGTGCAGTGCTGACCCTACAGAACATGGTGTGTGGGTGCCGACCGAAGGGATAGGTCGCGTGGGGCCATGGCACTCTGGTTGACCCGGGAGGACACGTGACCGGTTAAGTTGACAAAGGGGCCGCAAGAGGGGGCCGAGGGGGGGGGTCACGTGATTGGAACCCAGGTCCTTCCAGAGCGTTCTGGAAGGTGGACGTGGCCAATGGCAGAGAGGGCCACGCCACAGATAATAAAAGCCGGGTCCCAAGAGGGACCGGGGTTGTTCATCCCGGGAAGAAACCCTTCGTCTAAGATATCTATTCTATGAGTCTTCCAGCACGTGGACCCAGGCAGATACTGTTGGTATTTACACCATTGGAACCTCATTTGCCAGAAGCAAAAATATGATAATTGGTTTTTTACCCTTTTATCTGGCAACATTGGAACCATTGAGGTTCCAATGGTGTAAATTCTTACCCCGAGCTCTCATACTCTGATGGTGCATTGTCTTTGAGTTGTGCGCCTTTTGGTGGCGTCATCTGGTCCAACACCATGTGAGACTAGGCTCTAAGGAAAGCTGTCTCGGGTGTGGACCATACATTATCAGAGTTATGTTGTTTGTTTGCATTACGACTGCAGGTATTGTGGTCTATGCAAACATGACTCCTTGTAAAAAAGGTGTCAGTTTTGTTGCCAGATAAAAGGGTAAAAAAACAATTATCGTATTTTTCCTTCTGGCAAATGAGGTTCCAATGGTGTACTCCTGTAGAGTCACTAGATACTACTCACTCTATTGAATGTAGGGTATTTAGGTATGCATGCCTACGTGGGGGTAAAAATCTTTTTTGAGGGTGGCGGAGGGGTCGACAATTTTCGCAAACCTTTTAGATCAACTATTTACCACAAACTTTCTATAACTTTTTTTGTTGACGGACAAATGGACAAACAAACCGCACGCCGGACTTTCACAATAGCTTAGTATTTGTGTATGTATATGTTATGTTTTTAAGTTTTGAGAAGTTTGTAAAATATTTTTCCCCCGGGCAACGCAGGGTACTTCCCGCTAGACGCAACAACACGAAACTAACTCTGCACTTGATGTTATGCAAAGGTATGTGCGGATAACTGTGTGTGACGTGATGCAAAGGAATGTGCGGGTCGATTCAATGCATAGCGGCCAATGTAGGGAAGTTAACAAGGGACCGCACCTCTGCCAGATGTGCGAGCAGCGCGATGCTCTGCACTGTTTTCCCCAGGCCCATCTCATCAGCCAGGATACCGTTGATGCCCTGCAGGATAAGTGCCACACAGACGCAAGTTAATGGACCGATTTGCAGCACTGATATATTGTACATTGTCACTGCTGGATATTCGATGATTTGATGCCATCGACTTAGTCTTACTATTGGACACCCACTGTCAACAACAAGTGGGGCAACACCGTTGCGAGATGTTAACTACCTCGCCTGGTATACAGGCGGTGTTCGATCCCAAACCCGATGTCTGTATATTTGGAGTTTGCAGTCTCCCCATGCTCGCGTGGATTTTTCTTTGGGTCCTCCGGTTTTTCCCTCCACATTTAGAAACATGCTTTTAGAGTATTTGGCTGCTATCAATTACCACGTGATAAGCCACTTCGTTGGGTTATTATTTGTGACCAACTCGCTTATAAAAAAAGAGCTAAAAATCTCAGTGGGCTTTACCTGATAAAATAAAAACAGTTTTTAGTGTCACACACAAGATCAAATTAATTTAGCAAACCCCTGAGCAATAAGCCTGTGTTCCCATCCCCCTTCATTCGATACCTGACTGCAGCAGGGCAACACAACCGGCGAGGGCAGTCGGAAAAAACTCCCATCCGCTCATACCTGCTCGTAGAGGTTGGCCAGCCAGTTCATGCCCTTGAGCTGGTAGGCCTTGAGCTTGCCGCAGAAGAAGGAGGGCTGGGGAATGTCCTCGCCGGCCAAGATTGAGGGGTTCGCGAGGCTGTAACTCTCCCCGAAGCCGGTGCCCGACGCGTCGGCCGCGCGCAGTGCCGCCAGCCGGCTCTCGCTCGCCTCGTCATCAAAGAGCTGCGTCTGCACAAGCAAAAGCGGGCAGGGGGCAATCATAGGCGTTGTCATTCAGAATCAATTCCTCCTACACAATAAGCAAATCACAAAGCACTCACCATAACTATCACTGAATTCATCATGGGACCTCCTCTGACAGTACCAAAATGAGAATAGGTTTTTTCCCCTTTTTTCTGGCAACAAAAAAACACCTTTTGCAAGGAATCATGTCTGAATTAACCACAATACTTGTGGTCAGAATTCAGAAAAAAAAACTGATAAAATATGCATTGTCTTTGAAACTGATTGGTCCACACCAGACACTTTTTTTGAGCCTCTGGTCTAACACCGTTTGAGACGAGGCTCAAAAGAAAGCTGTCTCTGGTGTGTACCAATCAGTTTCAAAGACAATGCACATATTTCGATTTAAAGCTTTCGTGACTGCAGGGATTCATCTTCTTGGTTCTTTCGGTAAAGTCACGTAGAAGGGAAGTAATAAAATAATAAAAATAAAACATAATAAAACAATTCTCACGACGTTTCGGCCACAACGCAAGCAGCCGTCCTCAGGTGAAAACCAGGTCCGTCGAGGCGACAGAGTCTGAATGAAACAGCACACGAGCTTGGAGCATATATATAAGCTGGGCGCATTGACAAAGGAATTTGCATATCAAAAGGAATTTAGCATATTTATGGGAAATGCAAGAATGTGATTAGTACTGCATATGCATGTGCATTATGCAGGATTAACAGCATCAAAGGGAGCTGCAGTTACTGCTGCTGCTGCAGTTGCTGCTGCTGCTGCAGTTGCTGCTGCTGCTGCAGTTGCTGCTGCTGCTGTTACTGCTGCTGCTGCACTTGCTGCTGCTGCTGCAGTTGCTGCCTTATCCATTTTAATATAACACTATGTATTATTCTACCTACCCTAATGTGTATCACACTGCTATATGTTTACTATACAATTACGACACCATACATTACTCTGCACACTGCACCATGCCAGTGAGTGGGACGCGCGTCCCACTCACTGGCATGGTGCAGTGTGCAGAGTAATGTATGGTGTCGTAATTGTATAGTAAACATATAGCAGTGTGATACACATTAGGGTGGGTAGAATAATACATAGTGTTATATTAAAATGGATAAGGCAGCAACTGCAGCAGCAGCAGCAGCAAGTGCAGCAGCAGCAGTAACAGCAGCAGCAGCAACTGCAGCAGCAGCAGCAACTGCAGCAGCAGCAGAAACTGCAGCAGCAGCAACTGCAGCAGCAGCAGTAACTGCAGCTCCCTTTGATGCTGTTAATCCTGCATAATGCACATGCATATGCAGTACTAATCACATTCCTGCATTTCCCATAAATATGCTAAATTCCTTTTGATATGCAAATTCCTTTGTCAATGCGCCCAGCTTATATATATGCTCCAAGCTCGTGTGCTGTTTCATTCAGACTCTGTCGCCTCGACGGACCTGGTTTTCACCTGAGGACGGCTGCTTGCGTTGTGGCCGAAACGTCGTGAGAATTGTTTTATTATGTTTTATTTTTATTATTTTATTACTTCCCTTCTACGTGACTTTACCGAAAGAACCAAGAAAATGCACATATTATCAGAGTATGTTTTTCATTTGCATTCTGACCACAAGTATTGTGGTTAATGCAAATAAGATTCCTTGCAAAAGGTGTTTTTTTGTTGCAAGAAAAAAGGGTAAAAAACCTATTCTGTCACTGAATTGTTGTTGCTAGGCGCAAGCTCGGTGTTTTAGACCTTTGGGCCTGTGCTCGGAAACTGTGCTAAAAACAATGCCCCACACTTGCATGAAAAGAACACTCACTGAGCAGAATATAAAGCTACACTGCACTAAATTCACCTCGAACAAAGAAGCTCTCAGCCTCCCAAACATACAACTGTCAGTGGACAGGAATGTGCAATTACCCCATTGAAAACAGGTCATGAGGAATTAGTACATTTATTTCAGTCACGTGGAAATTGTAATTTGTAAAATTATGCATAAGCATCTAAATAAGGGAACAGTTGTTATGTTCTGGTTATAGTTTTCCACCTTAACATTACCCTTTCGTTGATATTCATACTTCATAAACACAACATATGGAGACTGAATGTTTTCTGCAGATGCTAGGCAGGTCATAGGAGGCATATTCAAAAAGCTTTTGGCTTTTCGAATACGTGCTCTGCATCGCGGTGCTTTGTGAATCCTTACCCTGGCCTGATGGGCCTGGAAAGCTTCTTCAGCATTGCGTAGAGCCCGAGCCTTGTAGAATTCGCTGTCTGTGACGACAATCGTAGGACATCAAGCGGCAGCCAGATGCACCATCAATACAAACATTTGCCCGGACATCCGAGCAGCCAAGTGGTCTGCGCACCCCTCCACCGACAGTTCAAAGTACACGTTACAGAATGTGGGGAAGAGTTAAAACATAATAACTACATGCAAACACAAAATCCCCTTGTGACTACAGTTGCTTAAACAGCCTGAACAGAACGTGTAGAAGACATATGAGCAATCTTGAGAGTCAGAAGAACAATGGCAGAGGAGATGGAAGAATTGAAAAGGGCTGATACTCTGTAGGACGCTGCGGTGGGAATACTGTGGTTATGAATGGAGTAGGCAAAGGATTAATGTTTGTATGTAGAACTTCTTTCGCCCTCTACGTAGCCAACCATGCTAATCGGAGAATCAAGGATGGAAGAAGATATTTATTAAGTTACAGATAATGGCAGAGATGTGCGGTTGACTTGATGTGGAGGATGTCGAGTGAAGATGGCAAGTGACAAGGGAGAGGGTCACGAAACAGGAGGAACAAAGAAAGCAGGAAAGTTGATCATGCCTGCTGATCAAGATGTCACAATGGCCAAAGCCGTTGATGCCACCCGCTAATCGGTAGGGCAGTTTGGGCGACTGGGCTTTGGGGGCGTAGGGAAGACGTTTATGGAGCTGAAGAGAAGTGTTGGGTTTCCGGCACCATTCGTGCTCCTGCAAGGGCAGCCTGATATAATTTCAAGTGTTTCTGCCTTGACGTGGTGATGAATTTTGAAACGGGACTTTGATAGCTTTCCGGCCTGCGACTTTTAACTTCGCAGATGGAAGGGGTGAACCAGGGGGCAGACAGACCGGCCTCGGGATTTTTGGCTGGCCATCGAACAAAGACGGTCACGGCATCGCACGCTTTCAAATGCGCTTCTGCGGCCATCTGGAATGCTCTTCCATCCGATATTAGGAAGCCACTGGAGCTAATCAGTTTAAAATCTAGATTGATAACTAATTTCTTTAGAACTGCTTTTTGTGTTCAGTTTCTTGCCCTTCTTCGCACTGCTGGTTAACACGGTTGGCAACGTAAAGTGCGAAAGAAGTTCAACATACGTACATAGAGCATGAGTAGGAGGTTGGGGTAGTGGATATCCCTGGTGGGAGAGAACAGTTACGGGTGCCGCAGGTAAGCGATGGGCATTGGTGTGCTGGGATCTGTAGGGTTGGTCGACGTTGTGCATTAACCGTTGCACATTGCCATCCTCACCATAATCGTCGCGCGCGGGGTCCAGCGTGACGCCCCCTGGCAGCTGGATAGGCCTGCTGGGCGTCGAGTCCTCCAGCTTCCTCAGGATCTCGTCCTGCTCCATGTCCATCGCCGTCTTCCCGCCAACGAAGTGCGCGTACAGCTCCGTCTGCGTTATCAGGAAGTTTAGCTTCCGCTGCTGGCGCTTGGCCTGCGGGATGGGAGTGGGAGGGGAGCGGGACAGGAAGGACGGGAGCGGGACGGGAGCGGGTTGCGCATTATGGCCGTGTGCGATGGCAGCGGCCATGGTGCAACTAATGCCTTCTCTCAAATGCAATCCTTGTATTTAGCTACTTTTCAACAGAATACGTTAAGATTGTTCATTATCCAGCAGGTTCGGAGGAGGAAGGCGGTGCTGGATTTTCAAAACGCAGGATAATCACATCATTATTTAAAATGACTTAACTTTGCACATTGTTTCGATTTAAAGTTTTCGTGACTGCAGGGATTCATCTTCTTGGTTCTTTCGGTAAAGTCACGTAGAATTGAAATAATAAAAATAAAACATAATAAAATAATTCTCACGACGTTTCAGCCACAACGCACATTGTTGTATGATATTATGATTTTAGTTGTTGTTACATGCTTCATGGTGTTTTACATGTGTTTGTGAAATTGACATGAATTAACCTAGAGATAAAATGCCTTTTCCCACTTAATAAGTTACTGTATTTACTGGAAAGTACTTACCTCTCCGATCTCGAAAACTCTGCATGGGGCGATGTATATACATGCAGTATTTTCATTGTTTAAGTTGTATGTAAGGTAATACGTACTGTATATAATATTTGACAACAAAATAAAGCCGAGCTACTTTTTTGGTCATGCACACGGTGCCGGTCGCCGGATTGGTTACAGCCTTTGGAGCGATTTTGCCGGTTCAGCCCGGGACCACCGGATAATGTTGGAAGCCACAATAGCGTGTCGGATAACTGATGATCAACTGTACGTCAAATGTAAGTCTGGCCTCCGTCTTCGGAGGTAATTGTATTACAACAACCGAGTCATGGGTTTTCGTTAAATTCCCTGCTACACTGCATAACAATTAAATAATACATGCCTGTAGAAGATTTTCCCAGTGGGATACTCAACTCTGTACGGCATCTACCATTAAGGAAGTCGCTTACACACATCTCATTGACAAAGGTGCTGTGTTCAGGGATGGAAAATATTGATCATGTAGCATGAAAATCAAAACTAAACATTTTTATCCCTAACAATGAATTATATCATCACAATATACTGTTAAAGCAGGCAAACACTTCAGATCATGGCCATTATTTATCATGTGCTGCCCTCTCAAGAGCGTAGGCATTAGCTTTTGATGCATCGTTTCAAATTGAGTCATCCTATGAAGAGGACTCGTCCCTTGGCCATAGGAATGTGTAATTCCCACCACTGGTGTTAACAGGAGACAAGTGCTGCCACGTTGTTCATTAGAGCAGGAAGTCACCTCTCTCATCTCCTCGTCCAGCTTGCGCTGCTCCAGCGCCTCCTTGTGGGCGCGCCGTCGGTGCTCCTTCTCCACCTTCTCGTAGCGCTTCCAGTAGAGCAGCATCTCCTTGGTGAGGCGGCGCGCTCGCGGTAGCGTCTCCTTGCAGTTCTTCTGTGTCTGGATGGCAGCTCGCCGCACCTCACGCATGCACTGGTGCGCCAACTGCTCGCGCCCACCACACGCAGACATCAGCCGTCGTCCCACAACACCCCCCCAATGAGAAGTGGTGCCGCAAAAGCGGGCGTTAGCCGCTCGTTGCACTGGTTCGCCGTTCGAATCCGGCGGGCCGCCCCTGATTAAACGAAAGGCCCACTGAGCTACGTAGATCTTTTTTTTAAAGCGATCTGACCACAAATAAGAGCTCAAAGAAGTGGCTTATCACATGGAATTTTATAGCAGCTAAATACTCTACACGCACATTTCTAAATGCATGCCGCTGCTGGTTAGTACTGCAGTGCCCGTGTATTAACCGTAAAACACTACACACCATCTGCTTCAGTGTGGACGTTAAAAAGTCCCGTGACATCATTAAAAAAGGAGGCCATTGCATGCCGACGTCATGCTGCAAATTTGCCAAATTTGAAAATTACCTGCAAATGACTGAACTCGTGACAGCCTCCCGATAGAAAAATAGCACGAATATCAAACATACCCAATTATAATTAAATATTTTCAGTCCGGGCAGGGTAGCGACAACTTTTGCAGTTTTGGTGAGAAAAATGTAAAACATTGTAGGCTGGTGTCATGATACCAAATTCAGATTACTCAAGATATGTATACATCCGCTGAAACAGGAAAAATGTACTCTAAGCACCGGGCTTAGTCAATCGCACGGGTACTGTAGATATGCAATTACCAAGCAAAGAGACTTCAGATTTAATAAATAAAAAACACATTAAATTGCACCACTATGAATCCAGGCAATAATGGAAGTGATACAACTTAATATGCTTTAAGTGCAGAGCTCTGCCATTGGCATGGCAATGCGGAAAAAGGTCACGGCTTCCTAAACGAGACGGCGACGATCCCGACCCACCTTTTTGGCATTGGTGAGAATGTTGTTATGGGCTGACGACTTTTGTTTTGCGGCCTGCAGAAGAAAAGAAAAAACCCAAACAGGACACTTCAATCAATCCACAGCGCATTCACAAAACAGCTTTGACAAACTGTATTCGTGATTATTCATATTTGATGAGCTCTTGTTAAATCTAAAACGTGGACGAATCTGACACCGGCAATCACATGCAACACGGAGCACAGGTCCAGCGCATCACAACGAGCCAGCTGGAGCCGGAGCCCCTGGGTGCACCGCTGCCACTGCCGCCACCACCGCCGTTCTCTCACTTTGGGAATATCTTTCTTGGCGACGGTGAGCCACGCGCGGCGCCGCCGCTGGCCCAGCTGCTCCAGAGTGAGGTGCTTGCGGCGCGACGATGTCGTCGCTGTGCCCTCCTGGGAGAAGCGTGCCACCGGCCGCCCATCCCACGGCGCCGGGGAGCCGCGCTGCTGCTGCTCCTCGCGGCGCCGCTTTCTCATTTTCTTCTTCATGGCTACGGGGGGCACAGAAGCCGCGCGTGGTGGGGGTGCGGGTGGCAGTGTTTTTAGAATGTGCGTGAATGCACTGAAATTTTCTAACCGTACGTAACCAACCATACGAATTGGAGGTGCGAAGAAGAATTCCACCAACACGATAGGAGAGTAAACCATAATATTATAACCATGCTGACGTTAGGAAAAAACGCCACTTTTTTCAAATTTTCCTGCTGTGGATTTCACACCTGATGATGATTGCTTGTGTTGCAGTCGAAACGTCGTGAGAATTTTAATTGCTTTATATTATTATTATTTTATTATTTCCCTTCTACGTAACTTTACCGAAAAAACCAAGAATATATAACCATCCTGGTACATTGGAACCTCCCATGTTAGGGCCCTCCTGTTTACAAGCAGGAGGTTGGGAGTTAAATCCCGACCATACCGCTGGTATATTTGAAGTTTTTCCATTCACGTTTAGAAATATGCATTTAAATAATTTACATTATTTTGCTGCTATAAGTTTCCACATGATAAGCTGCTTCATTGAGCTATCATTTGTGACCAGGTCGCTTCAAAAAAAGAGGCTAATAGCTCAGTGGGTTTACCTGGTAAGATGAAAAATTGTTTAGTTTTATTTGTATATTTTAAGTGATTTGTTTACCTTTTCCTATAATTTGCACTCCTATCGTGTCTTTGTATTGTTTGTTATTGTAAGGTTCTGACCTGCCCCTACTGGACATCTGTGAAAAACAGCTTAATAGCTCATCGGATTCCTCCAGGATAAATATTCTGATCATGATACTGAATGTAGCATTCGTCGTGTCTCAGGTAAAAGTGGAATAGAACCACATATTACACACTTTCACAAAAACAACTGCCTAACACACTTCAGCAGGACTCATCCGAAGGAGCCTCACAGACTTTGCAAACCGCCCTGGGTAAAAAAACGTATTATAATCATTGTGAGAGCAGACATACAAAGGCGAGGCACCTTTGAGCTTGCGCTCCTCCTTGGGGCGCTTTCGCTTGGGCCCCGAGGAGTGGCGGTGCGCCTCGTGGTAGCGGTCCAGCGAAGACAGCAGCCCCGCGCTGTAGAACTGGTACTGTTGCAGCTGCACACGGCACACATGGGCGTCACAGCAAGCGTCAACCGCACAGCCGCGGCACCGCCCATCTCGCAAATACCACTCGTCGGCCTTCCACTGCACGTCTCGGACAGGGCCGGATTAAGGTTCTTGTAGGCCCTAGGCACTTCTGAATTTGCAGAGCCACGCAGGCCGGCTGCCTTCATCTCCCCAGCGCTGCTGGTTGCACACCACGCCAGGTTGCCGCAGCATTTCCCAATAACTGAAACAATTTAAACGAGGCTCCCTCTAGTGGGGAACGCCAATGCAGCTCCCAATCAGATCGCATAGGTCACTCAAGCGTTCTTCGTTTGAAAAACAGTGGCAGACTGATTTTGAGTGGGATCTGGAGACAAATGTGTGATGCGATCGTATAGGATTATGGTGTGGCATGATGGTGTAATGGGCCACGACGGGCCAGTGAGCCATTGCCGAAGATTCATTGGCAGCCTGCAGACCAAGTTTAATGCTTATTTTGCGAAACCAGGTGAGCACTCCAGAGATCAGGATAAGTCTCATTTGCAAGTGGGGCATTTGTAAGCCTGTAAGGGGGTGATGATTTCTATGTATACAGTAGTGTCCCTTGGTTAACGTTTTTTATCTGTTTCACGAAAACTACTGTTAACTGAAATAACTGTTAATCCAATATAGGAATTAATTACATGAGTTTACAAGACAGCAATTTCCACTGCCAAAACAGAAAACGTAATGTAAACAAAGCCAATGGAGGGTTATACGATCATAAATGGGCATCGCTGATTGTCTGAGGGCAAAACTGGCACCCGCATGCATAATGGCAACATACCGTTAATCTAAATTTTTACGTTAGTCGAAACCAAGGGGTCCTATGGGAGGCGAAATGTTAATCGAAAAACCATTAACTGATGTCACTGTTAACCGAGGGACAACTCTAATCCCTATTCAGTAATTTGCAGACATTTTTACTTTGAAAAATTTGAAGCAATCACTATTAAGCAAACACACTTTTCAACAAAGTCTGCTTTTATTGGCTAAATAAAACACTCAGTCTATGCCATTGCCTACCAAGTTGCCATAGGCGATTATGGTTACTGCGTTGCTGGTGACAGTTGCCGGCAACAATATTCCTAAAATGTCCCTATTTTATCTCGGCCTTAAGTCAGCACCCACGCCAATGTGCCAGTTTGCTGAGTCAACGCTCCAGTGCCACTGCAGCCCAATCAAAAGCGAGGTGTGCTGCCAGTACAGGTGACTCGGTAAGTCTGGGGCTCCCCCTGTGGGTTGCAGCGGCGGTGTCCACACGGCTGCTGCTGCTTAGGCACGTGGCGTGCAGCGTACCTCCTTGTGCGAGCGGAAGCGGCTCTGGTGGAGCTTCCTGAACTTGTGGAGGCGCAGCATGTCGTGCAGCTCCTCCTGCGTGAGGGAGAAGGCGGCCTCCTCCCCGTCGTTCTCCGACTCAGAGGAGTCGCTCAGGAGAATACTCTGAGGGCACGCGCCGTGCACACCACAGCCGGGGCATCGTCACAAACCGCTTTTTATTGGAGGAGGAAACTATCAGCCGAAAATCACACAATTTAAAACGTATCCTGAAAAGCACCCTAAGTACATGCTCAACAGGAGCAGGTATGCCACGTGACATGGTAGCGCTGATTTTTAGTACTGAGGACCCATTATAAGGTATGTATTTGCCATGTTTCTTAAAAATACAAACGTTTCAACGTTCGTTATTTCTGCTTGTTCAGCTGGTGGCAATCAGGCTGCTGTTCATGAGTCATTGCCTATAAACAATTGGCAGTTCACGAGCATTGCTTTAAGCATGCTCGACTCTGCTGATGAGACACTGAATGTCAAATTAAGTCCAGCGTTTGCTTGTATTAAACCAACGCTGCCGAAAATACACTACGAGCAGGCTGTGTGGCCGATATGATGTGCAAATAATACTTTAACTTTCATGTGGATAGACAGATATGAGGTGGTGTAGTGTCAGCTTGAGTATAATGTTAATTACCACTGTAAATGGTCTCTCGGTAGGGGCATTCCAGGTGCTAGTTACTTGCCATGAATGCAATGCACCACAAGAATTTCATGGACGCATTTGTATTCCTGAGCATTGTTACACACCACACACAAATGCCTTGTTGTCGACCAAAATTGTAAATATTGAACAAGAAATAAGTTTCACTTCCAAGCCAAAAGCCAAAGATTCAGCTCTATGTAATATACCAGTGCTGCATTTATCTACATGTACCATTAAAAGTGAGATCCTGCTTCAACAAGTATTGAGGCGGTGCTCATCACCTGTTACAGCCCCAGCCAGTGGTGGTAATTCCACATTCTTATGGTGGGGGCGAGTCTCTAAATAAGATAACCGCGGTTTAATTTTCCATAAAGTGGTCGTCATTTAGTGACTTCAGAGGAATGGATAAGCTGTAGTCGACCTCTGACCAGGATTTGAACTTGCAACCTTCTGATTGCAAGCCGCACTTTCTAATGCTGAGCCACATGGCTAGTTGTACAATATTACATTCAATACTTTTTTAAAATAAATATATAATATACCACAAGGCAGTATAAACACCGTAGATTCTGTTTTGAATTCCCCCGAGTAATTAATTAATTTGTTTTAGGAACATAACCATGACCAATGAGGGTCTGGTAAAAAATACCTTCATCCATTTCCGACTTTTCTTCAGCTTACTGAAGTTGTACAATTGCGCCTTCTCAGCCTTCAGTTCTGTCAAGAGAAACACATTCCGCTGTAGCAAGCCAGAGAAATCCTTGCGATGACAAGCACGAGCTGGTTTAGGCCACAACCCCTGCATCTATTCCTTAGGCTTCTCAAATTTACTGGCTTCCAGTTTAACGCTTCCTGTACAAATTCGCTGTCCTGTTACAAAGCGCACAAATTTAGGGTGAACCGGCAAATGCAACTCCCAGTCTCATCGCGAGTCCCATCTCGCAACTTCTAATTGACAACCTCGGAGTCTCTCTCGAAGCAGACATGGAAAATATCGATTCTCTGATACCACTCCGGCCGCCTGGAATTCACTACCTCTTCTCTTACTGCACACTTCGGTGTCGGCATCAACCTTGCGCCAGAATGAGAATACTTTTCAATTTTTTGAATGTGTTCTCCCACACTGCTGAATGTCCTTTCAAAGTTCATTGTGTGCGCGTTACAAATTGGTATTTCTCAATTAATGAAACGTCAACTAGGAACGTGGTGAGGACTCCCTACCTGCTGACAGGAAGCCATTGGCCGGCTGTGCGTAGTGGAACTTGTCCGCCACCCTCTTGCCGTGGCGGTCGCCGCCCTCCTCCTCCTGCTTGATGCAGCCGAGCCGCGTCAAGGCCCCGGCCTCCTCCACTTTCAAGGCAGCTGCTCGGCGAGCCATGCTCCCTGACGCGCAAACAAACAGCACCCGCCCTTTCATTCCACCCGCCACAGCAAACGGCTTCACACACGGCAACCGACGCAACGTCATCATCGGCACATTAACCGGAGTAATTGGTAAAGTCTTGCGTCGTCGTGCAACCACTGCCGGAAGGTGCATGCTATAAGACGTTGTGTGATATCGTTAGATATTTCGCTTGTTTATCAAGGAAAGCCGCACCAAGCCTTCAGAAAACATATTAAGGAGAGTCCTGCCAAGTTTTTGCAGTAGGGGGTGATGTTGCTTTGTGTAATCCCAGTTTGGTAATTTCTCGCTATTTTTTTGTATTGGGATGTTTAGGCCAATACCAGTTACATTGTGTGTTGTTTTCAGCTATGAGAGGAAGCCAGAGAACCCAGATGAAACCCCATGCAGAACAGGGAGATAACATACAAAATCCACAGGGAAAGGCGCCCAAGTCGAGAATCAAACCCAGACCCTTGTTGCCGCGAGGCGCAAGTGTTACCACTGTGCCACCCTGCCACCCTAAACCATATAATTAGACTCATGTGCATTTTTTCCTCGAGGTACATTGATGACATCAATGTAAAAATGGCTCCTGTTGGTGAAGACAGGTACAGGTGTGTCTCGCTTAACGCGTAACACTCCTGTAGGAGTGAGTTTCTAAGCAGTGGAACTGGAACTCTGGGAGAGCGGTAGCACTGTGCTTCAAATTATGTTAAAAAAGGACGAGGTTTAGCGACTGTGATTACGAGCATGGAGGATCGCACAACGGCTTTATTGAGTCTATGTGTCTTGAATAAGCCAAGGAGAAAATAACTGTGCAGTCGAGCGGACCTGCACATTAAAAAAAAATCAAGCACTCTTTTAATTGTAGGATGTTTCGTAAAGTGCCGATGTCCTCTGGTGAAATGCACTGGTACTGGCAAATGAGGTCTAATGATGTAGATGCTGACCCCGAGCCCTCATTACTTTGATAGTGCATTGTCTTTGAGCTGTACGCCTTTTGGCTTCCTCTGGTCGAGCACCAATTAGGTCGAGGCTCAAAAGAAAGCCGTCCCTTGGTGTGGACCAATCAGTTTCAAGGACAATGCATATATTATTATAGTATGTTTTTTGTTTGCATTTTGACTGCAAGTATTGTGGTTAATGCAGACATTAATCATTGTAAAAAGGTTTCAGTTTTGATGCCAGAAAAAAGGGGAAAAACCCTATTATTATTTTACCCTTTCAGTTTGTGTGCATGGCTCAATGCAGCGGTTTGTTAAATGCTCATCCAGAAAAAGTGCCCTCAGACTTGCACTTGAATCAATTGATGTGAAAAACCAATGTGATGCAATGGTACCTTGACGTCGTAAATTATCACGGTTGCTGAGATCTTGAACCTCACCTGTAACTCATGCAGTGCTGGTGCTGTGACCCAGTTTGTCTGACTTTGTAAGCAGACCTATGATGGCCGAACCAGGCCAATCCTTAGTGCTGAGCACACCCCTTGCAATACATGCTGCACATCTTAGCTGGCAACTAACATCACTGATCATCATCACAGCCTTGCTCTTTCACTGAAAAGTGTTGCTTTACTAGCAAGAGGTACGTGCGTTTAAAGTAAAGAGGGAACATAGAAATGGAAGGCATAAGGTAGTAGGCACACGGGAAGGGCCAGCCCCATTTGGTTGAACTGGACTGGGCCCAGCTGGATTCCAATTGGACCCCAGGGAGACCCCAGCGATACCCCAGCAAGGTCCCATCATCGTTCCACCCGAGCTACGACGTGAGATTCATATAAACACGTCGAGCCACCAGGAGGCACCCAAGCTTTGTCAAAGAATGATGTCATCACAGCCAAAGCCAACGAGGCCCCTACACCTCGCCAACGCCTCTTCTCCCTCCGCCAGATCGCGCAGCCGAGGGCCCCACCAACACCGAATACTGCTGGAGGGCGGACCGAGGAAGGGGCACCTGTGATCCTGATGGACGGTCGTGCATCCTCAGCCTCGGGACTTGCCTCCCGCTTGATGTGCAGCAGGCGCTCCGCAAGCCCCGCCTTTGAGTCTTCGCCACTCTCATTGCTGTCATCATCACTGCCAAACACATGCATGCACAAACCCACACACACAGTGGGGGGGAAGGGAGGGGTGTTAGCACGACGTCCACCCTCTTATAGTGAGATAGATTTTAAAGTCAAGCGCACAGGAACTTGAGCCGCATCATCGGTACAAAACCGGCAAAAGTGTCACTCCCGATATCCAGGTTTATCAAGAATGTTTATAAAGCTGTTGATGCATTGTAGAATAATTCAACAATGTTATTACCTTATATTATAAATGATCAATGGATATTTAAAAAGTTTCATTCAATTGTTATTCAGGTATATTTAGACTGAGGAATCACCAAACAAATTAGCTATTGAACGCTTGGCTTTATAGATCCTATGACATTATTCATGAAAATAAACTACCGTGCACTGTCATAACTAAATGGCAATGTTGCAAAGTATATAGATGTGGATTATAAATAACCTATTCTGAAAAACACTCCCTAAAAAATGTTCAACATTTGTTAAGGAGGTAATTGATATAATTTGGATTGCACAGACCCAGACTCAAATCCACAAGCAGGAGAGGAACTCATCCTACTGAGTGTCAGCCACCACTGTCTAAATTGCAAGGCTCCCCTCTCTCAGACTCCCCAACAAGGGAACATCATAGCAATCCTTGAGCCACGAAAGCACCTTGGGGTTCACCTGTGTGTCAATGACAAAATCTGTCAATTTTCAAAACACGTTGTGGCTGAATTCACTCACCTCTGTGACCCAATTTCCCTACGCTCCATTTCCCACCGTCTCTACTCAAAAAAGTATCTGCCTTATTTTCCCATATTTTAATCAATTTCTCTTCTATTATCATTCATCTGGAATGGCCTCCATGCCGTAACGTAATGTAAGACCCATGCTGGCAAGATGTTAACTGCCTCGCCCGGTATACAGGAGGTCGTGGGTTTGATCCCAACCCTGACGCCTATATATTTGGAGTTTGTATTATCTCCCCATGGTTGCGTGGATTTTTCACCGGGTCCTCTGGTTTTTCCCTTCACATTTCGAAACATGAATTTTGAGTATTTAGCTGCTATAAATATCCACAAACTACTTCAATGAGCTATCATTTGTGACCAAGTTGACTTACCTGGTACAATAAAAATAGTTTATTTTATAGTTTAATTCGTTATCTTGCTTGTGGAACTACCCAATTAGTGAGGTGCATTTTAAAGATTACGCAATGTACAGTAATGCAGTATACATTTCAGATCATTACAGGCTATTATGAGTCTCAAGCGTGCAAAGTGTTCATCACACGTTGGCAATAGTGATGACAACAGCTATGGAAACCAAACTAGATCTTCTCAAACAAAACCCATCAAGCTCCACAATTCTGAAAAAGCACATGGCTCAAATGGAAAAAAATGTCCATTAAAATAAGTCACCTTAAACATAAGATACCTGAGCCTTTGGATTCAAACACTGCAGATTGTAAAAAGAACGAGGCAAGAAATAAACATGCACAGAGCAAGAAAGTAGAAAATGTCTTCTAAAGGAGACAATCATATTAACGAGTTATCACCTGGTTAAAAATGGACAATTATGTAGAGTAAATATGTTATAACTTAACAACCAGAAAAGTAGAAATAACTTCATGCGACTTGGTTGCAATTGGCCAATCTCCAACATTTCACTTCATTGAGCTTTATCATATAACAGGGCCACATGTAGGATCGTAAGCAGGTCATCCTAAATTTGAACACAGAAAGTCTCCAAGTTACGAACGCCCGACTTACAAACAACCGCGCTTTCGAATGAGCGTCCATAAAATATTAACCGTACAATGTGCGAACACCAGCTCGCACTTGTGAACCCAACAGCAGAACTATTTTGTTCAGCGAAGCGATCGTCCGCGTGATGTAACGAGTCTCATCATCCCGCTGTGTTTGTGTGAGCGCGCACGTGTGTGAAATTGAGTGTGTGTGAGAGACTGAGTGTGCGTGTGTGAAAGTGAGTGTGCGTATCTGTGCGCGCGTGTGTGCATACGTGCGCTCGCCCCCGTGTGTTTGTGTGGGGAACGGAAGTGCAATGGTTAATGCGCTGTGCTACCAACCCGAAAAGCAAGCCAAGCATCAGGACTCAATGTAAGTGGGAAAAAAACTGATTTTTTTTTTCTTTTCATGTTACTTAATATTACGTTTATTGACTATGCAATATTTATTATTTATGAGTTTAACAAAGCTTCCCTTTTTTGTTGAACCGTAACACGTGTTATAACACTGACTGTATGGGCATTTAAATACAGTACATTAATTATGTTCCAACTTGTGATCTGTTCGACACGAACAGGTCTTAGGAACCAAACCCGTTCGTAAGTCGGGGGACTACCCGAATTGAAAAAAAAATGAAGACAGCACAAGAACAAACACCCCATGTTCTTACAAAGCACCGAATAGAGATCTAAACAAATGTTTGCGCAATCAGCAGCGATATTTTAGCTCCGATTAATTACCCATACAAGCACTGATAAGGTTTTGCACACACCAACTTGCACAAAGCTCGTACACCGGCAAAGCTTATGACTAACAAGAGCCACACACCTTCTGGCTTACCCGCTTAACCGTGCTGCACACATTATTCGAATTAACATGAACATCCCCTTGCAGTGTCTACCTCAAAAACAGCATCTCCAAGGTGTTCATGCACCTTCAAACTATTTATTTCTCACTTCACCCCCTCACACGTGAAACACATTGCACTGAATAGCTCAGTTAGCAGATGGAGCACGATTACTGGTACACTTTTAAGCATCACACCTGCCATGAGCGAACAGTGGTTAAATTTTGACTTAAAGCTTTCGTGACTGCAAGAATTCATATTCTTGGGTCTTTCGGTAAAGTCACGTAGATAGGTTCAAAGAAAATAACAAAAATTAACCAAAAACTACGACCGCTTGTGTTGCGATCGAAACGTCGTAGTTTTTAGTTATTTTTGTTATTTTCTTTTAACCTATCTACGTGACTTTACCGAGAGCCAAGAATATGGTGGTTAAATTGCCGCTTTGGGCGTCAGGCGAGCTATTTTGAAGTTCGACGCCCCCCTGTGAGAGAGCGTGTTTCCTCACCTGACGGGGAAAGTGCGGTTGAGCACTGCCGACACCTGGTGCAGAAAGGGCTCCAGGCGCAGACAGCGCTCCAGGTGCTGGAGCTGCAGGGGGCTGGCGAGGGCCGGTGGGCCGCCCCCGGGTGCTGCGTCTGCTCCGGCCTCCATGGCCATGGGAACCTAGTGGCTTGCAGCCAACGGGGAGCCTGCACAATGGCCACGAGGAGAGGAGGAGAGGCGACCGAGTGCTTTCGCTGTCATAGTGGCTAGACGTCTGTGGAAAAGAGCTTTATAGCTAATTGGATTGCTCAAGTGCAAATAAATATTTTTATTCTGTATTGCGCAGAACCACAATCATCTGTGGCCGTGTAAAACCACGAACTGCATTCATCGCAAGTCAGGGTTTACTTGCAAACCCGTTCACTCGATAAATACAAATTCACGAGAAGTAACTGCAAAGGAATTAGCATTCCTCTCAAATTTCATCAGTTCGGCCTCCTGAAATGAAGATATCAAGCAATACCAGGATGGGTATTGCACAGAGGTAACTAAGAAATACACAAGAGAATTGGTCATCATTTGGATTTTTTTTATTAGAAAAGCTTACGAATAATATAATGCTAATAATTTCAGAGAAGGTGGTGTGAGTGTTGTGTGTGCAGTGAGGTAATGCTATTAATAGCAATGTTCAACACTGCGGGACAGCATGAATGTGCATTTTAGCAAACCTTGCCAGTCTTCTTCATGAGACGAGTGTTTTAAATTTACATTATCGTTCTCCAATTAAACCAAGTGTGTTCTTCCATTCCCGGACAGAGCGCAAAGCATTTTTCTCTTTGGAACAATTCAACAGCAAGGCAACCGCTCATACAAGCCAGCAACCCAACAATGCCTGGCAAGCCTTTGCCTGAAATCCTCTCAGGTTCTGCCTTATCACAACTTCAAGACATCCTTTATCTGTAGACATGGGCACATGGTTCACGCTTGTTTGCCTTTAAAAGAACAAACCCTAGTTTAATCAAGGCAAAATCATTTCTTGCACATGGTCTTATCACATATTGCTAATGAGAGGGACACAACCCAGCTGTCCGCAAGACTACCATACTTCAGCTGGAGTAGATACCTGCACTTGGGATTAGGTGAGCACAGCGGTGTAATTTTGTCTGGGCACGCACAACAGGGACTGCAAATAGCCCAAGCCACTGCTGCTGCGGCTACTGCATGATTATTTATTATAGTGGACACGGAATTTCACTGCTCCCTTTCAAAAAGCAAATGAACACTTGAAAAACATAGATCCAACATCAAAAGCAGGTTTTTATATCATACAACACAGCAAGTGCTGTTGCATTTAGTTGTGTCGTTATATCAACTTGGAATATATGACAGAGCACATATATACAGGAAACATTTTATTAAAGTGGAAACGAAATAAAGGTTACACTTACACCGAACGAACAATTTGCGCCCCTCTACAGTTGACACTATGAATACTGATTTATCTCAATCAGCCGTAACAATACTTGGACAAAACTATGTTGCATTTTAGTGCCTGCTTTTCAAAATAACAGGACACGTGCACCAACAAAAAATTATTGCATATCATTGTTACATTCACGTGTGCCTGAAGATATTTCAGAGAGCAAAGCAGAGAGGAAGGTCTTCAGCCAAAACTTGAAAAGAGGCAGGGAGTCAGAAATGCGGAGGGCCAGTGGGAGGAAATTCCAGACAATGGAAGCAGCAGAGAAGGAACAACCTCCCTCTGAGTAAAGATTGGCTAAAGGCTTTGATTGCTGGAGCAAAGGGCAGATGGAGGGGAGTAGACTGAGATGTAGGCAGGAACATTCCTTTGAGGATATTTAAGAAAGTTTTTTTATTAAAGATGAATGACAACTAGGAGGGACCTGGGGATTGTGGCGATGCCGCCACATCTGTAGTAGGTAAGAGGTCCGGTCTTCTCAATTTGGAGTTTGGGGTGAGATATTTGGGGAGTCAAGAGATGACAAAGGCATGTGCATGGGTCAAGGGAGTAGATGGGACAAGTGGCAGACACAGGAGATGTTGGTCAGAAATAGGTAGGGGGGACTGCAGAGATCAGATTACAAGGGAGGTGAATGAGAGCTCAGGGCTGATGCTAAATACAAGTTATGGCCATTCTTTGTCAGCCTAAGGCCAGACTGTTTACACGTGATGGTAGTCACCTTATGATGAAGGTTCCCATATGATTATCAAGATTGTTTTAATAAGTAAACTTACAGCCCTTTGTCAATCCACTGGTGGATAAAGGGAGGTCCTATCAGGATACCATCTTGACCATTTCCCTTTCCAAGTCAGGTGTTCCACGAATGATAACTGGTAAGTTCCACTTTACAACATTATTATTATTATTTTACAAATGGTGTTGGGGGAAACGAATGTACAAAGGTTTTGGTATCTACATAAATTACCATAAACATCAACAAAAAGTAAAACATTATCCAGGGATCAGAGGAAAAATCCAAAGTTATTGCAATTGGACACAAATTCACAGATTAGAATTTTAGATCATGTGGGAATTACATGAAAGCCATCATCTACCCAAGCAAGGAGCAGTGGGAAAGCTATGTAGATAAGCAGGTTGCAAAACATCTGCTCTTAATGTCTACAAAGTTTCAGTCCATTCTGGCTCCAGCTACCAGCTCGGCCGCCATTTGTTTTTTACGAGTGTGGAGTTCCTCCTTCACAACAACGCTCCAGTTCACAAGCCACAATTTGTCCAGGCTGCTATCACAAAAGTGTGCCTTTAGAGGAACTGAACCATAAAGCATGCAGCCCAGAGTTCGGCCCCATCAACTTTCACTATTGCTACTGTGCCGTTGTATACATAACAATGATAGCGCACGGCCCTTGGTCAAGGCACTTGCTGGACGAAGATCTTCCAGGGCAGTGCCGGTGGTGGAGGATGTTGGCCGCACTTTGCCACGCAAGTCAGTGGATGAATGGTAAAAGTGCGGAACTCGGGAATGATTCAGTAATTGCTCGCCACTCATGATAGCCATGGCCGGAATTCGAACTCTGGCATCCTGGTTCAGACTACAAGTGCGTAATATCTGTGCCACCGCTCCTCCCCACTTTATCAGTCGGTGAAAAAAAATGTCATCCTCACTTAATGCCAATGTAAACGTACAGAGCCACTCAAGACACGGCACAAAAAGCACCACCACCACTACTTATGTAATGCGAGCGTAAATGGGGTTGCTGCTGGACTCTGGCCCAATCACACGACCCAAGGTATTGGGGGCGGAGCCCGGTATGGGGGGGCGTGTGAGAGGGGCCGCCGTTCACCTCGGCTCCAATGGGAAGCGAGGTGAATGGAGGTGGAGCCAGCAGGGCAGTATGAGAAGGCCGGATCTGACGATCCGGAAGGGAGGAGTCAGGGTCACGTGGGAGAGAGGTTATAGAGGGGAGCCCGGAAGAGATCGAGGCCAGTTGATGGAGTGAAGAAGCGGGACCACGTTGGGTGGCCGCCGCGCCATCAGCCACGTGGCTGATGGGGCTTCGGCACACCATCGGCCAGCGGTGTGCGGAGCGGGCAAAGGAGCGGACGGAGGAGCGTGCGGGGCACGCGAGAGGAGCGTGCGTGGCACGCGAGAGGAGCGTGCGGGGCACGCGAGAGGAGACGCTGGTCCCTTGTCAGGACCAGCGGGGTGTGAGGATGAGTGGAGGAGCTGAGGAGGAAGCGCGTGCGAGACGACGCTGGTCCGTGGAAGAGGCCAGTGAGGGGTGCGGAGAAGAACCTAAATAAAAGACAAGCGGAGACCAGCAGTGCCTGACGGAGTCTTTTATTACACTTGAGTCAGAAGTGGAACGAGATGTCGAAACATATACCTGCACCATCTTCAGAAGATGAAGAGGACCTTCCTCCGGCGGTTTGGGGTCCCGACCATGGAAGGGGGGGGCACCGAGGACGGCTGGCGACACGTGGCAGTCCAGTTTGATTCGCTGCAGGCCGTTCTGCTGGATTTTATCATTCTGGTGGCGCCAGCGACGATGCCGGATCGGCCACGGGGCAGGCCTTCGAGCGGGGAGCCTTCGGGTGGGGCCAAGCCGTCCACCATTGGGGCCTCTGCGATGCTTCCGACCCTCTCCGACACGCGGCAGGACGCCGCCATCTTGGGTGTGGTCGCGGACGAATGGCGGGAAGCCACCATCTTGTTGCCACCGCGGCGGGAAGCCGCCGCCATCTTGAACATCGGGGCGAAGAGGCGGCCATGCGCTGCCATCTCGGAGGCGCCGCGTGGTGTGCATCCTGCTGCTGAGCAGCTGTTTTGCGGGAAGGAGCCGCAAGGAGAGGGCGCCGACGCTGCTGCTGCAGGGGCGAGAGTACCTCCGTCCTGGCTCGTGTGCGAGACACCGGAGCAGTCGCGAGAGGACGCCACGCTCACCGTCCGAGTTCTTCGAGGCGTCTCAAGTCACCACCCTGCCGTCCTCTGCTCGCTGCAGCCCTGGGCGAGTCGTAACGATATGCACCCGGCCGTAACACACACCTCACCCATCTTGCTTGTGCCGGGGTGCGATTGTTTGTATGTCTCGAGCGTGCGGAGCACGGGTCGGGGTGTGTGTGTGTGTGTGTGTGAGGATGGACGGGCTGTCTGTTTGTGTTGCTCTGTGTCAAATAGTGGTTATGCGTTGCGGCATGGGGATGTTATCTTGATGGCGAGGTTAATTATTAATTTGGTTGCGTCGAGTGTCCCGCGCTGTTACCATCCCGTGGGTTGCCGTGTGCGACGTGGTTATTTTGATGATTTTTTTTTTGCTGCTTGTAATCGCGATATGCTGACTGCATGTACTGTATAGACTTCCTGTACGGATACGGAGTGCGGTGCATTGTTTTGACCATTGGGTTCGGGATTGTTATTAGTTGTGCGTACCTGTTCGGAAATTGGTCAATTCGGAGGGGACCCTAAATTTTGGTTGTATGGGTGTTACCGGTTGTGCTAACCGGATGTGGACTTGACGGGGGAGTGGAGCGCCTGTTCGTCACTCCTGCTCTACCAGTTGCTCTCTGAAGTTGGACTTGAGCCAGGCGGATGGAACAGCAACACGGACACACTCTAAGACACCGCATTCCTGGTTTATGCGCGTTGGCCGTTCTTGCGTGTCGGTTACTGTTGTTGTGTATTGCTTTCCGTTCCTTAATTCTTCTTGCTTGTTGCACGGAAGACGG